AAAATTCGTAAATATGATTTGGCCTTTAACACTGTTGAACTTTAATTAGACCCCTGACTAATCCATTTTTACCTCCAGACTAAATTTAGGAGAGTATTAACAAAATATATATTTCTTTTTGAAAAACATGTATTTAACTCAAGATTAAAATAACTATACACAATATAGGCTTATTTTAAGGTAATAAATTAACAACACAGAATAATAGAAAACTATAAAAAAAGTGGTATAATGCACGGTGCACCTGATAAGGCAAACCATAATTATACTTAAAGGAACTATAATAAGCGTAATATCAACTGGCCCTTGATGCTAGGATGACAACATTTAAATGATCAATAATGTGTTTAATTCAAATAATTCTTACATGTTTTCCTGCAGAAGAAACCACAATTGAAAATAATCCGTTTTCAAAATTATAAACGTGGCCTTGATTGGACAGAGGGTACCGTTGTGAATCGGAAATTGCCAGCTATGCATGGAGGATCACTTGAAATTACGCAGTCAGTTCCTTTTTAGTTCTCCATAATATGGGTGTAGCATGATAGGTTTAACTATAATAAAAAACATTAACACTTAGATAAATAAATAACTTGATAAATAGTTGCTAGTTGTTCTATGGAATCCTCGGTATTATCTGAGTATGCAGAGAATGGGAGATGGAGTGAAAAGGATTGCAAACTAGGGAGATTTATTTCAATAAATATTCTATATACTGTTCAAGGAGGATTAAAAAGAAGAGATTTGAATAATAAATAATGTATTAGTAATAGTTTGAAATGGATAAATGATATAATTGAGTAATTCTATAAGCGCAAGTAAAGAGGATTGAAAAACGAAACCGTTTTTTAGAACTTCGTAACGCACTCCATTTATTAATACCTCTGGGATAATAGTTGCTTAGATAAACAGACGTAGAAGTTCATATTTCAAAATTCCCAGGGGCATTTATCCGATANAAATATGAGGTGTGGGGGGAGGGGGGATAAGAGCTAAGAATAAAAGAAACTATTTCTCGCACCGTTTAGATAAATATAAACAGAAATGTAGCATACAGCAGATAAGGAAGAGGGGTGGGGGGGGGTAGGAGGATGATAAATAAAAAAATGCGGGAATAGATGGGAGCGTCAGACTTCGATAGTACTATGGGATATAAATATGTAACAGAAGAGAAATATTAAGGAGCAGATTCCTTGAATAGCTGAACTATCTATACTTGAAAACCAACACCTCCATTACAAGTATTCACACAATTTTCCACCGACTCGACTGTTATTAATAATCCCCGAAATTTAGAAAAATAATGAGCTGTGAGAAAATTTTAAGAACTCCTCTAAACCCCCTGGACCCCCCTCCGAACCCGTTGGGCTCAAGAGTTTTTGCTAGGAAACCCGAACCCTTAAAAGAGCCATCGGAAAACAGACACTTGATATTTTTCAGTAAAAAAAAACAAGAAATTTTGATGTCCCCCCACCCCGTAACTCAAGCTTTTAAGACAGTGGATCTAAAACACGAAGTATGCTAGGTATCTATTTTGCAGAACGATTATCAGAAAAATTCGCTGAAATAAATACTTTAGAGGACTGTAGAAGTAGTATTAACTAACCCTCAATTTATAGAGTGGCATTTCAGATTCACAACGGTACCATTTGAATATTTGCCCGAGCAAAAACTACGGACATATTCTCGACTTGCGGATTATTCCGACTCAGAGAGAAGGAATGCTAAGAACCGAATCAGACATATTATAGAAGATAGAAAAACGACGATATTTTCCTCATTGTTGCTCAAACAAGAGTGTAAGGATACCGTTGTGAATCAGGTATGCCACTCTTTCAATGAAAAGTCCTTTTAAGCAAATACATTTTACAAAGTTTCTAAATTATGAGGAGGGGACGGGGTGGTTTTAAGGGGTTCTCAAATATCGTATTCCCACATACTCTGCAGTAGCTCTGAAGAAACTGAGATTAATTTGGTGACATACTTAAACCTAGTCACCTTTAACCCACAATATATACCCACACAAGTATTCAACAGTTTTCATAAATCTTCAATATTATTGAACAAACGTCATTTTTTATCTAAAATTTACAATAAATCAAACTATTTTAGCCAAAGTTTTAATTATTGATATTTAAGTAAGATAATAACAAATATTCTGAGCATTAGCCACAAACTCAAATTTTCTAATCCCCAACTCTTTGCAACATGATGGCAAAATTATAGTTTTATAGTTTTAAAATCAGTGTTTGTGACAAAAACTCTCAATTTTAGAAGAAAAAAATTTAAATAAAAATATCGAAAGATCCATATCTGCTTTAAACTGTCCGGGTCTAGGTTGAAGGTGATAGATTTTCAAGATTTTTGCTGAAAAGATCTAATCAGTAAAATTTGGGGGGGGGGGGATTCACCAATCATGACCTTGTTAAATACGTTGGAACCTCTCCTAATTTACAAGTCACTACGAAAAAAAGAAAAAAATTATTTTAATTTCACATCTTAAAAAATCTTACAATAGTAATGTGAAATTTCAAAAGATCTCAGAAAAAAAAGAATAATTGTATTTAATTCATTTCAAAAAAGTCTTTAAAAATGATATCTTGAAAAAATAAAAATCAGAAAAAGATAATTTAACTACTCTAATTCGACACCAAAATACTAGGAAATAAACAAAATTTATCTAATAGAAATTATTAACATGAAAAACGGTTTTAAACTTTAAAAAATGTTAGATATTTTTTTTAAAGAATCATTGAACTATATTTATTTCAATTTTAAAAACAAAAACTGTTGAAAAAAAACAAACAATATGAATAAATTAAAGCATCATAAGTTATTTAAAAAAAAATAAGGAAAGTCAAACAAAAAAGAAATATTTTTTACCATAAAATTAATTAATTTTTTAATTTTTTATTTTTTAAGATCAGAAAAATTTAAACTAAAATGCTGAAAAGAACAAAAAAGAAATTGTTTATATCAAAAAAAAAGCGGGTAGAAGTGTGTGATGGTGGGTGTGTGTGATGCCCCCCTGGTGTGTCGGCTTCATGATTGGAAGGATTCAAGGATTTAACTCTAAAGAGAGATGATGAGTGAGGATTTGATCCAAACCAAACTGAAATATTATTTTAGACCACGTTAAACAACACATAAGTTAAATAAACCTTTTTCGCTTGAAATTCAAGGTTTAACACCCAGACATAAAGTGATTAAACTCATGAATACCAAGTTCTACAACCACTCTATAAACTTCTCAGGGGTGTTTTATTAAGATTCCCCCCTACCCCTCTTAGTTTAATAAAAAACTAAAATAAAATTTGTTTGATAAATTGAATTCAAGAGCATTGCGGCAAAGATATTTTTTACCGTACCTATTACAATTTTATTACTCAAATTCAACACCCCTGGACCCCAATAAACCTTTCGTTAAACTAATTTCTTAAATAGATGCTCAACATATTAACACTTAACGGAAATTAACCTTGACTTTAAACCTGCTAAATTTTCGAATTACGGATTGCTTAAGACATATAAAAAACCTTAATTTTTTGTTTCAATTTATACTATTTTGATAAACAATTTTTACTGATACATATATGTAGCATAAACCAACCAAGGACCAGAACTAGAACTGAAATTAATTAGTAGTGAACCCCTCGGCTAAAATATCCAGAGAGATCCTATGACCAAGCATTTCGTTTAAATTTTGAACCTTCGTCATTAAATGTGATATTTCGAAGATACAAGTCCCTGGGGGTAAACCGTTAAATGCACTTTAATTGATGCAGCAGAAGTTTTATCAATTATGTAAAACGAAATTGGTAATTGGCCTTTCCCCCTCCCCCCCGCCCCATATCGTCCTTTCCCTCAACTACGTCTAATACGATTTTTCAACACAAAAAATTACCACGCATATCAAAACTTGCAGTTTTCAAAATAATAACAAATTTTAGGTCTAATTTTTTCAACTTATCGTCACCCTGTGGGTGTTTAAAAAGTTTGGATTTTTTTTCCCAGGTCTCCCTGTGTTCCCAAGATCAACAGTGGAGACAAATACACGGGATATAATGGGGGGACTAAGATGAATTGATGGCCAGAAGATGGATAGATAGAGGAGGAGGTTGCGAGATAAAATAAAATAAATATCGAGGTTGCGAGGTTAAGATATAAACAAGGCTAGGAGATTAATATATTTACAAGGTTGCGAGACTAATATCATGAGTTTGGAAGATTTGATTGTTCTGGCGAAAACTTTTTATGTAATTTATTTATTCAATCAAATATTGAAATTGTTGTATTATTTTAAAAATATCTTAATAAATTTTAACCAGTTTAATTATTCTTCCTTCCAATATGGTGTTGATGATAAAATTGTGATTATATTTTCTAGCTTTATAAACGTATAAAAAAGAAACAATTAATCTACTTTTAGTGCCAAAACCTAAATTTACTGGGAAACTAACCCCCCCCCCCCCTAAAAGATCATTATCTGATCCAGTTTCAGTTTCAAGTATCTTGAGAATAAATCTAGGATTGAGGATTCAGCAAAAACCTTCTCCAGGTCCTTTTTAAACCTTAGCTTAACGTTCGCAGGATTAGTCGGAAATGGGGAAACATATCAACTCCCCCCCCGCACCCCTCCTCTAGCCATTATTTTTCATCAGTTTTTAACTTACGAAACTTAAACAATGCATATAAAAAAGAATAAAAATTAGAAAACTAATTTGAAAATCAAGATTAATCTGATCAGTTGGGTCTTATGAACGAAAAAAAAACTGTTTGAATTTGATCAAATTAGTCCATTTTACAGTGGGATCCATTGGAATAGGAAGGAATAGACTAATTGACATGAAACACAGCAAATGTGCACTCTCATTTTATTAATAAATTGATTCTCAAGCTAATATTTGATTCAAAAATGTCAAATGCACAATAGGTTGATTAAAAATCGTCTTCCTATTCCAAAGTTTTATAGATCCCACTGTATATACTGATGTACTCACCGAGTGTAGAGAGGAGAGTGGAATATTGCGTATTTTCTGCGCAATAAGCTCTAGTTGTGTATAATACCACTGCCGTTCCTGCTCCTCGGCCTGCAGGCTCGCGATCAGTTCCTCCCTGAACATCAACAACAACATGATCAAGAAGGTCATAGTGTCTAGCCAGTTTATGTACCAAATAAACTTTTTTAAATAGCGGTTCATCTTTCGTTCTGGGTTGAACACAGATATCATATGGTACGAATGCATCATAGACGAATTTCAGTTATATTTTTGTTTGAAAAATTTAGCCTCCTTTGTATCATAAAAATTGAAGGAGATATAAGGTATCTAAACAATCTCCGTTTTCTTTATCATAATAAAGTTTGAACATATCTCTTTTAATCTCAGTCAGTTCTTAAGAAACAAAAACGGCAGTCCAAATTTTGGAAATCTCAAAGTTACATTCACAGACAATTTACCTTTTCTTCTGAAGGAGTTCTGTTTTAGATCGCGAGTTTCCTGACGGTCCTTTAATAGTTTGACCGCCACCAAACTCCTTGGGAGTTGAGGTCACACAGGACCTGAAAAATATTTAGAATTATATCAATCAGTACTTCAGAATATTTTTTACTTCTTTTTTTAAATAACTAGGCTTTTATGACGCTTCGCGCCTATCTTCTTTTTCAATTGCGAACATGTTCTCTTAGTATACATTGTTAAACAAAACAAAACAAAAAACCAAAATTTAACAAAAATCAGCATCAGAAATGCTTAAAAAGACTCGGGGGAATCTAGAAGTTGACTTTTTTTTTGGCACCAAAACGCTCCATTAAACTACTAAAATCTTTCCTCTGCCCCCCCCCCCCTGCAGTTTGCGCGGACTTCAGAAACCACGTAAATATACCTGTTTTAAAAGTTTTGCATTTGGGAAAAAATATGATTATGAAAGGGGGGGGGGGCAAAATTATGGGTCTTACAACTAATATACATCCCTGTCAAGAACTTAATCAGTAGCTTCAAAAAGAGTTTTATTGGTTCCACTGTATGCATTTTTTTTGTATACCTGTTGCTAAGGCTAGGAAGAGCAGGGTGAGGGGTGGAGCAGTTTAACCCGCCCACTGAAAACTTGTCAAAATTCACATCGTTACATTTATTGGAAGACAGATTTGGTTTGGAAGATTTTGATGATTCTGATTGGGTCGCGGATCGTTGACTTGGTTGGCTGTTGCGATCGGAATGTATTGATTGGCTGTTTCGATCGGAAAGTCCCGACTGGCTGTTTCTGTCGAAATGCGTTAACGCATTGCTGTTGTCTGTGGCATGGTTCAGATTTGACCGGCTTGGTAGGCGTGGAGGAAGTGGAGGCGGCACCTCTGAAAATAATTAAAATTATTGATGATTTTCTCGTAAAACATAATTTAGTGTATTTCTTCTGTCAGAGTCGATATTTGGTTTAATTTTTAACATGTAATAAAATTTTCTGGACTGTGCCGAGAGCCGACTTAGTGGAGCTACCCCCCCCCCCAAATTGAATGTTTTAAATAAGATTGGTCACATCACTACACTATGGTGTCGTAACACTTTTAATATGTTTTAACTAAAGTTGGAAAAAGTGATGAAACTCGCATCTTATCTATGTTATGAACTAAGGACGGTTCAATAAGAAGGATGAATGGAAGCTAAAATTACTTATAATTGGAAGGAAAAATGTGTAATTATTGAACAAGAGATTTTATCTTTATAAAATGTATAGTATTTTCTCAATATTTCTATAGTTATTATCGACAACAGCTCCATTTGTTGGAAGAAATTTTCATCAAACATTTCTAGATACTTTTTGCATCAAATAAACTCGTATGAAAGTTGCAAAAAGAAGAAATAACCTTCAAAACATAAATAAATACGCACTAAATGTTTTGAGTCGGACAAATACAGACCCAGTATACAGTATGCACCCCACTCTAATATTGATCAAAGATACAGGGGGGGATATAAATATATTTTTTAAGCAAATAAGTAAATTGTATTAGGAAAAATTTGATGCTTTGTAAATTTTTAAAAAAATTTACGAATTTTTTGAACTTTTAAAAAGTATTCCCCCTCCCTGTATTTGAACAGCTGGTTTGGCGAAAGCTGAGAAAGCTGGGGAAATTCATCATCAGGGTGGGGACTGGGGATTATTACCGGCAAATGGGGTGGGGGAATTATTTCCGGTTTCTAGGTGGGGGGGGGAGGGGGCTAATGGGGTAGGTCATGACAGACAGGACAGGACGGACAGGACAGGAAATAAAGTTTTAAGTATAGTATCTAGTGGATATGTTGAGAAGAGGATAGAGAGTAAAGAGGATATATTGTACATATGATAGGGAGTATAGAGGATAGGCAGTATAGAGGATAGGGAGTATAGAGGATAGGGAGTATAGAGAATAGGGAGTATAGAGGATAGGGAGTATATAGAGGATAGGAGTATAGATGATGAAAAGTATTTAAGATAGGGAGTATTGAGGTTAGGTAGTATAGAGGAGGATTGGGAGTATAGAGGATAGGGACTAGGGAGTATAAAGGATAAGGAGTATAGAGAATAGGGAGTACAGAGGGTGAAAGTATAGAGGAGGATTGGGAGCAAAGAAGATAAGGAGTATAGAGAATAGGGAGTATAAAGGATAGGAAGTATAAATAAATGGGGCAGGATCAAAACCTCTAGTTGTATTGCAGATAAAGAGGCCTAGAAAACTAAAAGAAAATTGCACTGCACAACTAGCAGGGGTAATGCAACCGATTAAAAAGGCTTCCGAATGTAATCAGGAATTTATAAAAAATCTAGAATATTCAAAGAATCATCTGCAATATTTTCTTATTCAATGAAAACAATAATTGTATAATTATACAATTTCCTTACAAAACCTAGCTGTCCCTTATTAGCAGGCAGCAAAGTCAACTTTTTATTAGTTCCAGCTGAAGAAACTTTTATTATCATATTTATATCATTCCTTTATTTACATGAAATTGTTTTAATCCAATTATCCGGAAATTTATTTAACTAGGCTTCCAGAGTCTAAAACTTAAGAACGAAAAGTTACGACTTAAATATTAAGTTTCAGCTTAAATGCCACTTCTGACTTAATTTAAACCTGAATTATAAGTCACAGCTTAAATAATTTCGGCGAGTTAAATTTTAAACCCGAAAATATATATTTCAATAAGCATGAAAATTATTTAATCTGACTATTCTAATTTATAAATCTTTTCCCGTAATCTGAAATAAATAAATACATCGTGTGTCTGATACGAAATATATCAGGGTTAAATTTAGAACGGTTGATATTTAAGTAGCAACTCATTATTTTTCAGAACGTTTTAGGTATAACTGAAATTTCCCGCATTCTTTAGTTTTAGACTCAGGGTGCTTTTCGATTTTAACTTTTAATTGTTGCTCTATCTGCGACATATTCTTAAGTCATCAAACATTAAAAAAAGATTTTCACGGATTTATCTTTTTTTTGTGCATTGAGAAAAATTGAAACTTCTTAAAGGCAAATCTGTAAAATTCTAACAATCATTTAATCTTCCCTGTGGTCATAAGAGGTCAAACACAAAATTTGGGACCTATTGGTGCAGCTGTTTTGACGTTAATTTGGGATACAAACAAACAAATAGACAAGCAAAGTATATTTAGATGTGGGATTCTACGCAGCTCTATACAAATGGCTTAACATTATACAATTAAAATCTACAATTCATCCTTGTTCCTTAAATATTGAAATTGACATTTTAATTTACTGTTGAAATATAATTTTAATTTTCATTTCAAAATCAACTTACCAACACTAGATGAGCAGAAATACAGATCATCATTCATTAGAAATTGACAATTTAAAGGGATTGTTCATGATTTGGGAAAAGAGTAAGGAAGGAAGTAACTCTCTGTCATGGAAAAGGTATCAATCTTACTTTAATACTTCAAGAATAATTTTAGCATATTTTTGAGTCATGCAAAATTCAGAAATCGGCAAAAATAAGATTTTCAAGTCATAATGCGCGCCGCAAAATTGCTTAAGAATTGATTTTAATTGCTTGAAAAAGTTTTTTACAATCTCTTACTCTAAATAGCCGTAACATAATGGAAAGCTAAGATTTCCGACAAACCAGTTTTACATTTTTTTGAGTCAATTCTTAAAGACTCCACTAAATACCCTCCAGAAATCCAAAACTGAACAATACCTTAGAGTAACATATAAAGTATATTTTATATGAACAATAATTTTTTCAAATAACATTTAAGTATGGAAAAATATGCAAAAATAAGCAAAAGAAAAGCATTGAAATCATATTACTTAAAATGAAGAATGATGATGTATTGTATGGAACCTAAGAGTAAGATGAGCCGCAGTAATAGAAGTATTTTCATACAGATTATCCTCCCAGTTATCAACACTACCCTCCACCAGACCCTCCTCCTCCTCGTCGAGGATATCCTCGTCAACCCCGACCTCAGGAACATCGTACTCATTCACCGTAGTACTTAGCTCCCACAGCTGCTCATAGTGTTCATTATCTTCTCCTCGCCAGCCACCACCTTCATTTATCTGTCTTATTTCACCAAAATTCACCGCGTTAAAATCACCAGATTTACGAGTAAAATCACTGTTGGAAGCTCTGTTTGAGTTTGATGTGCTGAATTCAGCTGCTCGGGAGTTGTTGAGAAGTTTGAGCATCTTTTTAATGCTCTCTGCTTGCTGCTGCAGGCGCTTCATGTAAGCAGCCTGAAATTATCAAAGAGGCTGTAGTGTGTAGACGTAAAATCATGTGACCCTCCATGTATAGAGTGTCGATTCAAAACAATGTCCTTTAAACGGCAATGTGCTTCGATCAGGAAGATATCAAAATAAGTAAAATTCCATTTTGTCTCTGCTTCTTAAATCCACAAGTCACTTTTAAAAAGAACCGCAATAAAACATACTTAATTTTCTCCATTACCTCCATTAATTTTTAACAAAATGGTTTAAAATTCTTTAAAGCTTTCAAATTGTTACAGGTCCACCTTCCCCGTGAAGCATTATTATACCCTTGTAAAATATTCTATTGTACCTGTTTGACCGGATCAGCTGCGTGCAAATTTCCATTTTTTTGCATGTCAGATAGGGTCTGAATCTGGTCCAGCAAGGCGTCATAATTAGGCGAATTTCCCGCCATTTTTGTCGGTATTTAAATTCAAGTCATTTTACTGGCTGAGGCGCCATCTGTAAAACTCGAGTTAAAACTAGTTTCAGAGACTGTAACTCCCACAGCAAAAACACATCGAGACAATCCACAGATAAAATCGTTTACGGAAAGTCCGTCATAAATGTGGGAGATTTAAGACTGAAACAAGTATACAGAACAACTGTAAATACAGTGTACACAAAACATTAAACAAAACAAATCAAGTTGTGTAGTGAATTATTGTAAGATAATAATGCAGAGTATTATAAATCAAAAAGAACCTCTATTCATAACAAATAAATGTACTAATTGATATATCAGACAAGAATAAAACTAGTTAAAAACCCAATATTTAATTTTAATAATTAAGAATCTAATGACTGGAAAATATATTGACCAAAAATGTTGTCACAATTTTGTTCCAATTAAAAAAATAGTGTCTACGTTTTAAAATGTTTACGAAAAAGTTAAATCGTCATCAATTTAATATAATAATTTCCAAGCTCATTAAAGGAATGCTATACGTTCTAGTAGAAAATATCTATTGTTTTTACAACTCTTCATGATTGTACCCGCCGATCCTGTCCTGGCCACCGCCACCGCCACGCATGTTGATATGGTTGTCTATAATCTGGAAAAGTTCCCCTGGTTGGGGTATTCTCCCTGACTGTAGTTTGGACCAGAGAGGCATATCATTCAGAGAGATCTCAAAAGCTCCCGTGGAAATCAACTGAAAAAGTTGATTTAAATTGTAAATGATAAAATAAAAACTTAAACAATACAAAGTTTAATCGTAAAATATAAATAGTAATGACATTTTCTAAAAGATTAAATAGGGAAAGTTGTCAAAGTATAATAATTAAATAAATATTAAACTCCATGAAATAGTTAAACGTGAAAAACTGTAAAAATGTGTCCAAACTTATTAAATCAAAATTGGACTTGACCTTATTTGAATTGATTTTTACCAAATTAATCTAGGTGATATTTAAGTTGTTTGTGTTTTCAGGGGTCCTCAGCCTCTGCTGAGGTTAATGAATCTTGTAAACATGATAGAAATGGATGGATACATTACACGCATAGCATAAGCAATAAATGAAAGGTGGTGGAAATTGGGGAGGCTGAAAAGATGAATAACTGAATAAATGTATGAATAATTGAATGAATATTAGGATAAAGTAAGATGGAATGAAAATTGAATAATAAGAAAAGGGATGACAGAATAAACAAAAGGATAGAATAAAGGGTCATTGAATGAAGTATTTCACGAAAAAAGCTTCAATATTTCAACAAATGTATGAATGAATAATTTAATATTAGTACCTGGGTTTCTACTGCATTACACAAAAAGAAAGTCATCATACAAGCATACAACTGCAAACCACAAATATTTAAATATATTCAAATCCTTTAAATCCCTCGTTCACCAAATTTAAAATATCATGCATCTCATCAATAGAACTAAGAGGATGGGAGGAAGGCTGTTAAAATTTTGTATTTTGAAGCAGGGGAGAATTAATTTTCAATGCTGGATACTTTTTTATCCTTTTTGATACTTTGCACCCTAAAATTCATAAATGTTCCCCTAAAATTCATAAATGTTCCCCTAAAATTCATAAATGTTCCCCTAAAATTCATAAATGTTCCCCTAAAAATCAGTTATTTTCTAAATTCAGCAAAAAAAACACATAAACATCTTTTTACAAAGAACTGTTACCAGTCCTAATACATCTGAACAAGTGAACTGTACACCAAACTTCTCCCATAAACATCTTTTTACAAAGAACTGTTAACAGTCCTAATACATCTGAACAAGTGAACTGTACACCAAACTTCTCCCATAAACATCTTTTTACAAAGAACTGTTAACAGTCCTAATACATCTGAACAAGTGAACTGTACACCAAACTTCTCCCATTTCTTAAGTAATAACATCTTTGCTTCTCAAAAAGTTCGCCCAGCAAATACTCTGAACTTTAAAAAAACTATTTTAATATTTTTAAATATTGTTGTTCCTTGTTTTCCAGCATCCAGGACCACCAAGATGGAGTTGGTTGCCCAAAATTCTGTGATAAAAACAGTAAACACATCTGTTGTTAAAATCATAATTCAAAACACATTTTTTGTATACAATTGTAAATTCTACTGTATAGGCTGGAGACGATTCGGTAAACCCAATAGACGAATCAAGGTCTAAGATGAAGAAACAAAATTCATTCTGCATTTATATCGATCTTGTTTATAGTAATTTTTAAAACAATTATTTACTCAAAAAGTTTCAAAACCACATAAATGAAAATTTATTCTTGAAAAAAATCTCAAAACTCTATTGTAAACTTTTAAGATTACTTTATATCTAAAACCATGAATATTTTATATTTAGAAACATGAATTTTATCAAATGTTAAACTTCTTCTTAAAAAATATTAATTTCTGAATGCTTTTTGAATTTAAAAAGATTTAACACAAACCTTTTTTAATAGATCTAAGTGGAGGCTGCGTTTCTGCCGAAACTTGGACAACCTTTTACCTAAACGCTGTAGTGGTCTAAAACGCCTTTTGGGTTAAGAAAAGAAAAAGCTTTATTCTTTCTTTCAAAAATGTGAAACAATTAATAAAGCACTTTTTGTAGACTGAGCAGCGTGTCGAAGCTTCTCTCGACAAAAATTAAATAGGTATATAATTGGTTGTTATCAGATTGTTATTTTTCTTGATGTTACTGTTATTTTCCTGAAAAAAGTTGAAGCCTGCAATGACAGAAATAATAATTGCCATCTTAGCAACCCCAATTATCTGGGCTAACATGACCCTGAAAACAAAATTCTAGAAAATATTTAAACACAAGTTTTAATATTTTTTAAGTTTCGGGTTACTTCTATGGCCCTTTTTGGGGTGTGTGGTAAAAGTTACGCTAAAATATATTAAAATACTCCATTAAAAGGTTTTTCTAATATTCGTGAAAAAAAAGGCATATTTAATCTTATATACGTGTAAAAATCGTGCAAAATTAGTTTTTTTTCCCAAATCAATAAGGTATTTTTTTTTTTTTTTGCATCTTTAACCTTTTAGTCCTTTTTTACATTTTTAAACTCTTGCCCTTTCCTTAATTCGTTTAAGTATTTAAAAAACATAAATCTTGTTTTAAAAAATCAAATCTAAAATAAAAAATCTAAATATCAGTGAAATAAGTTCTTACCTTAATCCACCTGGTGAGAAATTATCCCCCTGTATTGATAGTTCAGGGTATTTCTGCTGTAGCATACCTGCATACTGCTGAAATACCTAGACAAAATATTATAAAATATATGTTTTTTTTTAAATGAGAAATAAAATTAAATTATTACTTGAAATTCCCCCCCCCCAAAAAAAAATCAACAATTTCTCTGTGAAGCAGATTTCCATTGAAAGTTACTTACGCAGAATAATAATTTTCATAAAGGGGGGGGGGCCACAAAACGTATTACTCTCCGGAAAATTTAAACAGTGGTTAAACATAACTTAGAATTGTCGTAGGAGGCTGATTTTTTGCATGCAAACTCAGAATTATGTATATTACATGCATTTTTTGGTTTTAAGACATATCTCCCAGAGTAAAATAGTAAGGAAATGTCAAAAATTATTGATAAGCACAAAAATGGCTGGCCAAAAAAAAAAATTTTAAATGCTAAAAAGTCGTATTCGAGCAACTTATACCAAAATGCTTAAAATATACCAAAATGCTTAAAATATATGTCACACATCTTAGAATTTTTCCAGGGATATTATGAGGGAGGGGGGTGTTATCTTTTACGTCCTATTCTTCAGAACTGAAATACACTACCTTCTGGTAACCTCAGGAGTAGCAGTAGAGGAACCTGATACTCGGTCCCATAAACTTGGACAGTTTAGGTTCAGGAATATCTTTTGTTGCGTCAGTGCCTAAACATTATCTTTAATGGGACTGTAGACAAGATTTAAAGCGACCCTTCGTTTATAGTGGCATGTTCGATTCACAAAGGTAACCTTAAAAGTTTTCTAAGCCCAAGAATGAATGAAATACTCATGTTTTTAACATCAATTAAAGAAACAAGATAAATTAAAGAAACAAGATAAATTAAATTATTTTTGTTCATTCAAGAAGACTCAATATGGATTACGCGATATGCCAAACACTTCTCCATTAAAAATGAAGTTTTCTCCTACCTAGGAATATATCCTTGGTCATAAGACCAGCGAATATACAGAATATTCCCAACCACACCGGACCCCCGTCCATCTTCTTTCTGAAATACGGAGACTTCTACGGTCGCTCGATAACAAGGGTGGACATGGGGATTATGTTTATTCAAATCTACTTCGAATCTTTTTGGGAGAAAGTGTTCAATCGATTTTATTCTTCAACAATTCCAATTTATTCTACAAAATCTTTTTTACTTCCTTGATTCAAATTTTTGAAGGAGAAATTTATTGTTTAATAAGATAAATATAGGAAGAAATCTTAAACAAATGCAACTTATCACAGACAATCATTAGATTCATTTTTGCAGTTAAAAGTTTTTCTAATCAGGGCGAACTATTTGTGCGAAAACATATCTTGTAATAAAAAAAAATTAACTTAAAATTCATTCCTGATAATCTTTATAACTTACATAACCCCATTAATTATGTTCAGATCTGATACAATTTTAATAACTTTTAATTTCAAATTTTAACACGTATAAGCCCTTATAAAAAAAAATCGCAATGTTGGTTATAAAATAATAAGAAATAAATATATATATCATGTTCTACAAATAAAAATTACAAATTCAAATATTATTATGAGTATTAAACAAAACAAAGTTTATCAAAAATGTTGATAATTTCTGAAGAATCAACTTTATCAAAAAATGCTGAATTTAATTGATTCATTGATTGGTTAAAGCCAGTCATTAATAGTTTGCTGAAAGACTTGATCCTCAATAAACGGTGTATCTATATCTCTTATCATTAATTCTCCACAGAAACAGCATTCTCCTAGTAATAAAAATAATTTTTAAAATGAAAAATAATTCAATCATGATTCACAAAATAATAAACATGACAAATATCAGAATAGATAATCTGAGCAAGGAACTTTAAAATAAGATTTGTCTAGATCAGCTGATGCCAGAATCCTGGTCTATCATTTGCCCGAAATCCGGAGTTTGACCAATGAGAAACAGGTTAATGGTAGGGTCAAGATAACCAACCGTCGGGGCCGGAGGAGACGAGTGATTTCGAATTATTAGGAACCAGTTTAACTTAGACCGCCAACTTAAAATTCCCCGCACCACTGCAATGCCAAATACTCAGTGTATTTGGAATTTTTATAAACTTTGACTTCAAAGCCTCCAGTAGGTAAAGTGGTGGAAGCTTTGTGGAAAACCGTTAACGAAACGATCCTAAAATTTTTTTAAAAACCATTTTTTTACCTGCAATTATATCCGCCAGCTCTTGAGAAGCCATCTCCTGTTTTGTTTGTCCTGAAAACAGAAAATCTATCTCGATTTTTATATTCAAAAAGTCTTTGTTTGCAAACATTTTCTTAAAACGACCAATACCTAATTTTAACGTGGTAAGATCTATCAATAAGATACCTGAAAAAGTGCTTGATGTTTCCTCCTGTGATTGTGCTAGAATACCCTGAAGTTCACCAACCCGTCTCCGTCTAAACATTTACAAGTTGTTATAAGGGTGTTAATTTTCTTCAAAATTCATTTTATCTTTTTTCAAATCAGGGACAATTAGCGAAATTGGGACAAATAAATAAATAATTGGCAATGGGTATGAAAGCTTCAAAAATGGGAGGATAAATTGACAGTCGATGTTCAATTTTTCAATTCCCCTTAAAAATCCTTGAGACTCCCCCTCCCCCCCCTCGTGAAAGGAATGGGTTTATTTCAAAAATCATGTTCAGTCATAATCAGAAAGAACCGGAATTGATTGACAGTTAATAAGGCGAATTTAGATATTTATCTTTGGAAACTTTTAATGTTAAAAAAGGCAGACCACATTTTGGAACTGGCAGTACTAGGGCTATTTTGGTATTATCGTTTTATCACGTTTTATCAATCATATTTGTAAAATTATATTGTAATGTTGTCTTATTAATTGTAAGCTAAACTGTAAACTAAATACACATATAGGGACTATTTTAAATAATTTTACAAAATCTTGTCCATTTAATAACTTATATATATATATATACAAGTTATTAAAGTTATAAGTTTATATATATATATATATATTTGCTTGATTTTGATATCCAATGTGGGCAATTTAAATTTGAGGATAAATGCCTCAATTAAAATTAATCCAGCTGAGTATGATCATGATATGGAAGAGGAATTAAATTGATCCGATGTTTGCTCAGTAGATGTTCGCTTAGTTATCGATGAATTGGTTTGAAGAACAAAAGAAAGCAAATTTTAATACGATATTATTTTGTCAAAGTAGATCCGACATCAATGCGTTGTGATGTAAAACTTACCTTGCTTGCCCTAGATGTGGTAGAACCGTCTCTGTAAGGCAGTCCGTGTGGAATCTGTGGTGTAAAACCTACCTTGCTTGCCCTAGATGTGGTAGAACTGTCTCTGTAAGGCAGTCCGTGTGGAATCTGTGGCTACAGGAGAATAGATAAAATTCCCGCGAGAGAAGTAGATCACCACAAGTGGAACATCTAAAGGTTTTAAAATGGATAAAAAAGCATTATCTCAGTTTGCTAAAAAGTTTGGCAGAAAAACATTTTTATCTCTCTGCTAGATCGAGTGATTTGGGGAATGCGGATTAATGCTGCCGAGAAAATGAAGGAAATTTTAAGAATATAAAACTGAGATAGAAAAGCATAGATATAGGTGTAAGTTGTACCGTTTTGAATCGGGCAATCCACTTTTCAGTTTTTATTTTGGGGCTCGCTTGAAAATAAGTCTACAGTACCCATATTAAGTTGANGAAATGTGTGACACCAGTTCTCGTTACAACCCGATCATGTCCTGGGGACAAACAAATCTTTTTAAGAACAAGTTGACAAATGTTCACCTGTCCGTAGCTCTGATGAATTGATATCTAGATTTAGCCTGGGAAATCTCGTCTCGGATAACCTGCGCAGATGAACTCGCTTCGCTCATTTCATCCTGAAAGAAAAACATCTTTAATATTTAAAAATAAACGGAGTAATTCTTTAAAGAAATTATACACTCATGAATACCAGTGCAGTAAGATTATGAAGGTTGAAATACAACACAACAACTTTATTTCTTTTTTTAATCACAATGTGAGAAGAATTAAGGTTTGCTTATATTTAACTGTGACGTATAAGGACTTTTAAAAACTGGTTTATTGTTTGTAAATAACATTTATCAACCAGCCATGGCCATAGCCCAGGAAAAAAACTGACCCTTGCTTTAAATCTTCATAAAACTAGTTTCTATCCGTCCTACTACGTCACAGTAAAAAGTGTACACAAACCCTTTCCCCTTCTTTGTTAAATGTTTCCTTTGACTTCCCAAATTAAATCACAATTTGCAGGGATGGCCTCCAGTCGTAAAATTAAGTTTAAAGTCCCGGCTTCTTTATTTAATAAAAAAAACATCATTGCAAAGTTCACAGCCTTATAACCTTTAACCTTTTAGGTCTACCTTAAGATCCGAGATGTGCTTGCTATACTCCTGGAGGGACTCCACGATGGCAGACTTGAAATGATCAATGGTTACGAAGTCGGGGAAGAACGGAAGAATATCTTCAATCTTGACACTAGGACACTGGGTCAGAAACTGCATTGCCTAAATACAGAGGCTTCAATTTCAGATGATTACTTCTTCACTTCTTTACCCAAATTCGTTTTTATTTAATTTTTTAATTTCTTTTACCATTTCTTTATCTCGTCTTTATCCTCGTATTTCTCTCTTTAAAGGGACTGGAAGCGAAATTTAAAATGACCCTCCATTGATTGTGTTGTATATCGTTTTTTAATACAATTTATTTGCATTTGTGGTTCCTCTGCATCACGTCATTGATAAGATTAAGGTTTCAAGAACCTAGTTGGAGACACTATAAAGGAGGGTCACTTAAAATCACGACGACATTACCGTTAATCTTTTATATTTATTTCATATAGTTTTTGTTCAATTAAAATTGTTCGGATGATTCTTCTCCTAAATAAGTAACAAAAACAATAACACCATGACTGACGGAATAGGACCAAATCTAATAAAATAGAACTAGAACCAGGCGACTAAACGTGTCACTGGCAATATTTATAAACATCCATACTCTATTGCAAAAATAGGACGCACTTATGATAAAAGCATTAATGATGATATATGGACGCACAGTTAATAACGCACATTGAGGACGCACAAAAGTATGACATGAACACAGATATACAATATCTATATAACAGGATTAGAAATTAACCTGTTTAATATCATTCTTCTCTTGAACTACATGCCGAGCTACCCGCAACCATAATTTTTTACTGGTATCCTCACTTAACAGTCTATAGTTAGCATTTTAAACATATTCTTACATTTTTTTTATCAATTTTATCATTGAAGAAATCTTTTTTATTTTCAAGGTAAATAAGTAAATATGTTAGAATTATAAAATTTTCAAAGTTGTGTACGAAAAACATTAAAAATGGGACTAGACTTACAATTACAATGGGGTAGAATAGTTTATAAATGGTTTAATTTAATAATTTATGTTACCTCAGTTTTGATCCAAAAAGCTCTCCAGCAGCACATTTCACCGCTAAATCTAAAATATCAAATAATTTTAATTCTATTTTGAATTATCATTTACAAGTTAGATCATAGGAATATACTGGATCAAGTAATGGAGAAAGGTTTATAAAACCATTTTAATGTATAAAATGTATTGATGGATTGTAAAGAGCTAATCGAATTTGACTTCAAATACTAACCTATATTGGTGGTTAGAGCTAGCTCCATGGACTGCTAGGAGTGCTACTAGAAGACTAAACTAACCTATATTTATGGTTAAAGCTGACTCCATGGACTGCTAGGAGTGCTACTAGAAGATTAAACTAACCTATATTAATGATTAGAGCTAGCCCCATGGACTGGAAAGAGTGCTACCAGAAGATTTAACTAACCTATCTATGGTTAGAGCTAGCTCCATGGACTGCTAGGAGTGCTACTAGAAGATTAAACTAACCTATAATAATTGTTAGAGCTAGCTCCATGGAAATGGACTGCTAGGGGTGCTACTAGAAAATTAAACTAACCTCTATATATGGTAAGAGCTAGCTCCATGGACTGCTAGGAGTACTACTAGAAGATTAAACTAACCTATATTAATGGTTAGAGCTACCTCCATGGACATGGACTGCAAGGAGTGCTACTAGAAAATTAAACTAACCTATATATATGGTAAGAGCTAGCTCCATGGACTGCTAGAAGTGCTACTAGAAGATTAAACTAACCTATATTAATGGTTAGAGCTAGCTCCATGGACTGCTAGGAGTACTACTAGAAGATTAAACTATCCTATATTAATTATTAGAGCTAGCTCCATGGACTGCAAGGAGTGCTACTAGAAGATTTAACTAACCTATATTAATAGTTAGAGCTAGCTCCATGGGCTGCTTGGAGTGCTACTAGTAGATTAAACTAACATATATTTATGGTTAAAGCTAACTCCATGGACTGCTAGGAGTGCTACTAGAAGATTAAACTAACCTATATATATGGTTAAAGCTAGCTCCATGGACTGCTAGGAGTGCTACTAGAAGATTAAACTAACCTATATTAATGGTTAGAGCTAGATCCATGGACTGCTAGGAGTGCTACTTGTGATTAAACTAACCTATATTAATGGATAGAGCTAGCTCCATGGACTGCTAGGAGTGCTACTAGAAGATTAAACTAACCTATATTAATAGTTAGAGCTAGCTCCATGGACTGCTAGGAGTACTACTAGAAGATTAAACTAACCTATAATAATGGTTAGAGAAAGCTCCATGGACTGCGAGGAGTGCTACTAGAAGATTAAACTAACCTATATTAATGGTTAGAGCTAGCTCCATGGACTGCTAGGAGTGCTACTAGAAGATTAAACTAACCTACATTAATGGTTAGAGCTAGCTCCATGAACTGCTAGGAGTGCTACTAGAAGATTAAACTAACCTATATTAATGGTTAGAGCTAGCTCCATGGACTGCTAGGAGTGCTGCTAGAAGATTAAACTAACCTATATTAATAGTTAGAGCTAGCTCCATGGACTGCTGATGTTGATCTAGAAGTGTAAGAAGATAAACTCCCTCCTCCTGAAGTCCAGCATCAAGGCAGAGTTTTAGTACATACTTTACATCTACTCGGGGCTGGGAACCTAAAGAAAACATTGAGAAAAATACCAGTGCAACCGATCTCCCATGAATATCTTTCTGCCTAACCGCCAAATCCAAATAAATAAAGAAGAAGTCAATTAATCAAAAAACATAATTTTTAAGTAATTCCTAACCTGCAGAGATAATATAGGGTATAATCTTATGAGGTTGTTGTGAAACATAAAGAGATAAAAGAAGATTATGAAGAGCTTCATCTTCACAACCTACACTGTTCACACTATGCTCCAAGAATCTAATACACTCACATATCACTGAAAATACGCAAATAAATTGACAATTTTAAAATATAATTCAACAATTATTTTTATGGAAACACATATAGAATACCTTTAGGGTCCTTTGATTCTGTTGTAACCATGATCGAAGGAAGAACTTTAGAAGCATCAAGTCTTTTATCTAAACATATACAGTGAATGATATGAATCATTTACCTTTCCTTTTAGCCAGATTAAACTATCAATGATTTTAAGTTGACCAATCTAATTCCATCTATTCATGAGGTCTTATTTCTAGGTAGCTCTTTTTTAACGCTAGGATCGGGACAAGTAAATAAATAAAATGGATCCATGTTTTCTATAATCTACCTAGTTTAATGAAACCCTGGTTTCTAGGATCTACCTAGTTTAATGAAACCCTGGTTTCTATGATCTACCTAGTTTATTAAACCCTAGTTTCTATGATCTACCTAGTTTAATGAATGCATCAACTGTTTGTGTTGGTATCTCCTTGAGTAGAACTGGACAGAACTCGTAGAAGAGTTGTGGGGACTGATTTCGTACCAGGATATTCAAAGCTTTCTCGAACTCTTTGTTCCTAAACAAATCAACCAAGTTTATTGGAGTTTAATTCAACTATTGATAAACACTTTATAACCATGGATTGGGTTTGTGAAGCGGGGGAATAAAAATCGACGCTTCAGAGCAAATATTGTAAATCTGACAGCTTTTTCAGCGTTTTAAAGTCATTAAAATATGTTACACGTTCCGCCAAAACCTTTATAGTAAGTTGTGTGTGGGAGCAGGGGGGGGGGGGGTTAATTTTTTTGAGAGAGGAAATTATTTTAGAATAAAAATAAGCACTTGTGACCTAAAATTAATTTACCTGATGTTAAATATCACAACCTTCTCTGTATCGTGAAGAGCGTCTGCAAGGAAGATCAAGTGCTCCATATCTCCATGACTACCGAGAAGACCGTACACAGTGTCCCGGTTGTTCCTAGGATAGAATAAGGATTTCAGGGGAGGGAAGTTCCATGCTATGCTATTGACCTAACCCTGACGCTGAATGTCATGTCTGGGCCAAACAATCTATATATAAATTTGGCTTGTCTGTCTGTTTGTTTGTATCCAATAAACGTCAAAACGGCTGAACCGATCGGGCCCAAATTTTTTGTGGGACATCTAGGGACCCCAGGGACGGTTTATGAATGATCAAAATTTCAAATATTTGTCTCCATCAAAATTCAATCTTCATTAAATTTTTGAAAATTTTGAAAATCCACGAAATTTTTTGTGAAAATCCGCGAATTATTTTTGTTTTGTTTTACGATGTACACAAAGAGAACATGTTCACAATTAATTTAGAAAATGGGCGCGAAGCGCCCTCTAAGGCTAGTGTATTAAATTTTCCTCCCCAGACAAAAATGAAATATTTATCAATACTGTTGAATTTTTAAACAAATTGATGCAAATTAAATATTTAAGGACCATGAGATATAATTCAACAGTTTTGGTTTAAGTTCGACTAAAAGAGAGTTAATGAGATTCTCCTAAGGTGGGAAAATGTCTGTTCCCCCTCCTCTTGTTGGAACCTAGGAAGGGAATTTATTGAATAAAAAAGTATAAGGACACATACAATATACATTCATCTCAAATAATCTATAGAAACTTGTCATTCTACGAGGAGTCGGCGATCTTAACCATCGAAATTTTCCATGGAAACACACATATTAACGGAAATCCTCGATAAAATTCTAAAATCAATGAAATATCTTAAAACAATCTGCAACCGTAAATTGCATAAAAGTAAAATCAACATTATCACAATCTTACTTGATGCACTCCTCGACCCTGGGCTGCCTAAGGAAGGCCAGGAACTCGGTCTGCTCCGACAAGTACATTTCCTTCCCCTCCTCCTTCTCACGTAGTAAACCAAGCTAAACCCAAATCATCATTAGTTTTCATCTTTATAGCTTCGGCAATCGGCATCCTTCCTTACGAGCATCTGCTCGTAAATTATTCTTTTAACTTCATTTATCAAGATCACGATGAGGATATTTTTGGTAGAAGTGTTGATTATTTTGGCCGGGAACATCTTTGAGAGGTAAATAATTATGAATATTTTGAAATACAGGGTTATCAACATAGGATGAGACAACAGTCTCGATTTATGATTCCATGCAACTGAAAACTTTTTTTCTTTCTTTGTTCAATCATACAATAAGACAGTTCAAGACTGTACTTCTAAGTGTTTTAGGTCGTCTTTACAGTCTCATTCTTTAAGTGGGTAACCCTGTAGGTAAACACTTATTCTTATTATAAGAATAACACAAATTCTTTATAGGATAGAATAAGATCTCAACCTTGTTCTGATAGATCTCGATCAACCAGAGGACGATCAGTGTTATCTGTGTTTTCTCACTCGGTCTCAATCCTTCCAGCTTCCTTTTCAAATAGTTCGTCAGAGCATTCTTCTCCTGCAAAGTAGTCATTCATCAATATATTATATAATTCATAAAGCTTACACAAAAACAAGAATTGATGGAAAATCCTATGCACTCTGAGAATGAAAAGTTAAAAGAACCTCCATATTGATGCAATAAAAAAATATATCTGGATCCAGTTTTCTTTATTAATCTTTATATGGAAATATCTGTTTTACTTCCATGATTCTAAAATTGATTGAACACAAAAATTTTAAAACAAAGCGAAAAAATGTTCAGAATGAATCTCGGGCTTAAGCATTGATCTCCAATCTCCATCTGACAGCAGAACAACTGATAATTCTATTACTCTTCAATATCCCGTGGTGGTCATATCATAAAGGGATAAATTTAATCGAGGGATCAAGCATTTATCATCAAATTTAAAAGTGCTCACGTTGGATATCGAGATCAAGGATTACCATAACAAAGTTCCGATATCTGAATGCTTTCTAATAATTTTTTTCTTTGTTTATTGTTGCCCAGGGTACTCATAGAAACACACGCCGTTTACCCGCGCTTGGTGGTAAATTACGATTGTAGCTATTTTTCCCTTTAAAAGTGGATCCACTCAACTTAGACTCTCAGAAACGAAGCTAAGAACGTTACCATTAGACATAAGATATAAGATACAATTAGGGCGACTCACAAAAATTCTCCGAAATAAAGATTAAATTTCCCAATCAAAATTTAAGGCAAATCGGTGAAGGGGTTCCTGAGTTATGATTTGACGTACAAACAGACGTACAGGCAAACAGAGATAGCAACTTTACATTTATAGATGTCCCTGGATTCCAGATTCGTGAATATGTTTAATATTACCTCTACACCCATAAACTTGAGAGTAACTTCCTCAAAGGATGATTTGGTCTTAGCATAATGCATAGCACTCTCAACATACCTAAAAATATTCAATATTCAATTAATATTTTCAAAAATAATTTATTGAAAGAATTACCTTTTCTCATCAAAAAGTTTCTCCGCTTGTTTTGTTAAGATGAGATCCAGAGCTGAAGCCTAAGAGAATTAATTAGATAAGATTAGAAATATTATCATCACAAAGATTCGAGAAACTTTTACTTATTGCGGTTGCGTATCTTAAATTCACTAAAATAATTGAATTTTTAACTTCAACTAAAACTTAAATATCACAATAAGAATAAAGGATTCGAGGATTTTTGAGGATATTTAACGGTCAAATACTTGTCAAATTTGTTTAAACTTGTCAGATAAAAGTTTTCATAATCTGAAAAATATTTAACTATTGTCGATGCTATGGAAACTGACCTAAAGGAAAACGACCTAAATGAATTCCGACCTAATTATTGAGTAGTTTAGATGCTATAGGTTCCTAGGGTCCTAACTAATTAGAGCAGTGTTTAGTTGCTATAGGTTCCTACAGTGTTTAGTAGCTATAGGTTCCTAGGTAAGTGTTTTATGTGATCTACAAGCCAACCACCAAATTTAAATTGTTCGCTATATCCCGAACAAAGGGGAGGGTGTTAATAATCCTTTAGAGGTCTCGAAATTGCAATGAATGTTGCAATTCTCCAAATCAACATCTTGATTGCTTCCGTCATTCATATTCATTAAGTACTTACATTCTTTAGGCCATTACGATAAAAAAATACAAATTTAAAAATACTCGACGATTAAGGTGATGAGGTGGTCGAAAGAACTAAAAAATCTAGTTAAAGCCTAACACTATCTAGCATATATCAAGGACACATCGGCGCATTGCATAAATAGATTTTTAAAAATCAATTATGAATTGTATTTTCAATTCAAGTTGCAAGGGATTTCCTTCAAAACTTTCTATTGCATTCAATCTATAAATCAATCAAATATTACGACATTGTAAACTTGTTCTGTTAAATCATATTCATGAATCTTTAATTTCACATTTTAAATGTTTTATTTATTTGTTTTTTTCTAAATTTATTTTTCAGCATAAGCTAAAGTTTACCAAGAAAAATCCTTTTTTTTCCTATTTTGAATAAAATAACCTTGATTTTAGTAATAATCTGGGATTTAAACATTTGACATATAAATCCCTCTCAGTCAGTCCTTGATTATACAAGTTGTATTGTTTAAATAAAATTATTCAACTGATATACATTTTAGAATAAACACAAAAATAACGAGGGGGAAAGGCCAGGGGAGGGATCAGAGTTTTTTTAAGGAAAAAACTTGATATAGTTTTACCCAAAAATAATTCATTTCTCTAAAAGTTAACTCAACTTTAAAAAGTATCTTGAGAAATATTTAGTATTTACCCCCTAATTATGGTAATATGAATCCTACCTTTAACCCTGTCAGGGTAGAGCAGCATCACATGGAACTCTGTCACTAAAATAGATAAACCAGTATAACCAATCTTAACAAACTTCTTTCTCATAAAGAACATATTTAATGTTACCTAGAGACTAGAACATGTTTTAGGTTACTTTAAATATATTAATGATACTTTAATGTTACCTATAACATGATTATTTTTTATGGTATTTAGATCTAGCACGTTTTTGTTACCTAAAGCATGTTCTTGTTATCTAAAGCATGTTATAATGTTACCTAGAGCTATGGATAGGAACGTTCGACTTTTTTCATTTTGTTCGTTCATCGTTCGTGAACGACCCATTTCGTTAATGTTTTTTTTTCAAAACTATCGTTCATTTTCCATCCATTTCGTTCGTTTTCTCATTGAACGATCGTTCAGTATAATCGTTCGACCATTAAAAAATCGTTCGTTCTGTAAAATAACTATAGTTATTAAAAAAATTGTTCCAAAAAATCGTTTGTTTTCAAAATCTTTTAGAAAATTCGTTTGATTCATAAAAAATGATAGTTTTTCTTTTCTCTGAACGTTCGTCCATCGTTCATTTTTTTAATGTTTAATGTTTAATGTTACCTAGAGCATGTTTTGGTATCTCCTGATTTAATGGATTAATCAGCTGGCAGTCAACAGTTACACTGTCACTATCTCCCTCCCAGGGATCTATTTTTCCTGGTAAAACAAAAAAGATATTATTTTCTTTATTTTCCTTAATATTTTCATTAACATATTCAACATGTTTTGAGTTTGAAGATAAAAAATATGTATTTTTTATTCCACTTTTAGATAATTAATACATAATAATTAATTTAATTCAAATTATAATCAATATGTTTTCTCACTTTTAAATAAAACAGTGAAAAAATGGCGCAAAAATTACAGAAAAACGAAAGGATTTACCCCTGGAGAAATGGAAATATTCACCCTGCATTTTCCAGTATATTATCTCATTGTTTACCAGTATAAAGTCCTGGCTCTGTTAACCAACCAAAGTGAGACGGGAGTCTTCGTTTCCCCTGCTGGGAGTAGAACATAGAGAGAGTGGAGTATTTCAGGGAGCTAGGGAACTCAAGAAACCTTAACAATAAAAGGTGGAGTACTTCAGGGAGCTAGGGAACTCAAGGAGCCTTAAATATAAAGGGTGGAGTACTACAGGAAGTTGGGAAACTCAAGGAGCCTTAAATACAATGGGTGGAGTACTTCAGGAAGCTAGGGAACTCAAGGAACCTTAAATACAAAGGGTGGAGTACTTCAGGAAGCTAGGGAACTCATGAAACCTTAAAAACAAAGCTGGAGTTTTAGTGTACGAGGATTATACGAGGATGAGATCTGCTAGAAACCCCATCTTGGGCAACACAAACCGCCCACAGCTGTAACTGACCAATCAAGCTACCACATTATTATTATTTTTATTATTATTAAAGGACTGGCGCTCCTGTCCAACCGATGTATCCATGGATAACGATTAACGCCCCAAGTTATCCCGGTCCAGGAGACTTATCACTGGGCGGTTTGCCTCGATTTGTAACGAGCGGTCCGCTCGGAACAGAACCATTTCTGGTTATCTTCAGTTTATATAAATACGTTTCTTATTCTACCTCTATATACATATATATTTATTTTGGGTGTTAAGAAGAATTACTACGATGACGCATATAGTCACGTTTATTTTCCATAAAAGACTTAAATAGACTTACCTTGCAGCTTTATTCAGATAATTATTAAAAACATGGTGAAGAAGTGGTCTTTCTGAGCTGTTACTAACATATCCCTAAAACCAACAAATTGATAAAAGTAATGATTATTGCGTGATTTAAAATAAAACTTGTGGGGAAAAACTTAAACTTTTTATCTAGCTGGTTCAAAAATTATACGGGTAAGGATAAAAATCTTTTAAATTTAAAAAAAAAAAAATGTTGGTTTTTCCTGTAGTTGATACATCCTATGTGGTGTTGTAGCGATGACGTAGTATTTAGTTGTATTGGGTACATTATGGTACTCTAGACCAGTAACCGGTACATGCTGTCCTATAAAATATAGTTGTATTGGGTACATTATGGTACTCTAGACCAGTAACCGGTACATGCTGTTCTATACAATATAGTTGTATTGGGTACATTATGGTACTCTAGAGCAATACATAATGTCCTTTACAATATAGTATAGTTAATTGGGTTCATTATAATACTCTAGACCAGAACATACTGTCCAATACACTATAGTTGTGTTGAGTACATTATGGTACTCTAGAGCAATAAATATTGTCCTATACACTATAGTTGTATTGAGTACATTATGGTACTCTAGACCAGTAACCGGTACATGCTGTCCTATACACTATAGTTGTGTTGAGTAAATTATGGTACTCTAGACCAGTAACCGGTACATGCTCTCCTATACAATATAGTTTTATTGAGTACATTATGGTACTCTAGACCAGTAACCGGTACATGCTGTCCTATACAATATAGTTGTATTGAGTAAATTATGGTACTCTAGAGCAATACATAATGTCCTTTACAATATAGTGTAGTTAATTGGGTACATTATAGTACTCTAGACCAGTACATACTGTCTTATACAATATAGTTGTATTGAGTACATTATAGTACTCTAGACCAGAACATACTGTCCTATACACTATAGTTGTGTTGAGTACATTATGGTACTCTAGACCAGTAACCGGTATATGCTGTACTATACAATATAGGTGTATTGAGTACATTATGGTACTCTTAGACCAGTATATACTGTCCTATACAATATAGGTGTATTGAGTACATTATGGTACTCTAGACCAGTAAATACTGTCCTATACAATACAGTTGTATTGAGTACATTTTGGTACATGAATTTCTAACCTTTAACGTAAAATATGCGAAACCACAGATTTTAATCCAAGTGTAAAATATCAACCAAATCATACAATTTTTAGCCTTTAAACCAAATTTAAGCGCGGACCTCAGAAGTGATCATTCAAGTTGCTTAATTATTATTATTATTATACACCAACGAAGAAATTTTACACCAACGAAGAACCATCAATGTACTTCGTTGGTAGAGCTCTCAATCTGTATGTTTTTACATAGTGTATTTAGCCTCGATATCAACTTTTCCTTAAAAATGTAAAATGTAGACGCAAACTGATTCTACATAACTTGCTCAAATTATATGTAAACGATTTGGTTGTAAAATATTTTTATTCAATCCACATAAACCTGTCTCGTCAACAACCTATTTTATGCATTTAATGTTCCACCACTTCATTGGTACAATTCTCAATTCGTATGTTTTGCATAATCTAAGTAGCATTGATACCAAATTTTTATTTAAAAAGTATCCGTAAATTAACTCCTATATAATTCTCACAAAATATATGTAAACGAGTTTGATGTAAAACTGTCTTATTTAATCCATGTAAACTATTTTGTACAATTTAAATAATCTCGATACGGAGATAATAAATATCTAGATCTCAAAAAAAAATTATTATTTGTAGAACCTGATGATAAATATTCATGGATTCGGATGCTTTTTTATATGACGTTAATATGATTGCTCAATCTGTTATCACATCAATATGATTCTTAAAAAGTGTAAATAAAAATGATATTATTTTTACCTTTTCCTATATCATACAGTTGTTTATAATATATTTCTGGTTCCTTTGTGAACATCCTAGGATCAAATTTCTATCAAATATCTTACTTTTAAATTCAGAATGTCTAAAAGGTGGGGGGGGGGGGGGCGGATTGAAAAATACGACAACAATTGGCAAAACTTCTTGTATGAAATTAATGAATTTTTCAATTTGTAAAAATTTAGCCATCAAAAGTCTCCTTAAAAATAGCTCGAAAACATATTTCTGGTAGAAAATGTTTACTCCTGAAATATTTAGATGAAATAATGTTATAATCCTAATGTTGTAAAAAGAAACGATAAAAATATCCAACTTTTCAGGAAGCTATGCAAATTAGCTGTATAATATTTTATATAATATAATATAAGATATTTGTTCTCAAAGGAAAAATGCCCCCTATTAATTTGAAGAAACATAAATAGGCAGATCAACAGGGCCAAATAAACAAACCAAAATAATCTGATATTGTCTGAACTGCGGAAGTAAAATGGTCTTAAAATAATTTATTTTTATTTGATAATTCCTTTCGTCTGTACATAGTTCAGTTTCTATAATAAGACCCAGGGTTGTACCAAGCAGTACTGGTCCTGTACTTCCCTCTCCTGTACTCTCGGGACTGTACAGTGAACATACAGGATCAACTAATTACTCAAATGTACATTGTACATACAGCTACAGGATCAACAATCACTCAAATGTAAAGTGTACATACATAATAAACTAAGTGCTCAAATGTAATTGTACATACAGGCGTGATCAATGCGTATATGGCTTAAATTCAATTAATACAGAAATATGTGTTTTTACAAAAAAAAAGAATCAAATACAAAAATAACTTTTTCAATAATCTTTTTCTCAAAATTTTCTTATCAAATCCGATTGTATAAAGGTATAGATCAAAGTAAAAATAATTTTATTTAAAGAAAATTTTCCATCTAAAACCCCGATCTTGAATGCCAAGCTGCCCATCTAAAAAATAAACCATATCAACAACCAACCAATTCAAAAGTTTTCAGTGTATGTTCCTAAATGCAACGGCAGAAACCAGATTCCCCTTGACCTTGCCACAGATCCTTGGTTTGATACTTTTCTTTGGTAGGTAAACAAGCTCAGCCTGACAAACAAACAAACAAAATTATACAAGGTTTACAATTTTAGGGATTACAAGGAAGGGAGAATTTTCAGCGTTAGTTCTTTCTTTGATGCTTTTCGCTAACACTTTTTTGTAGTTGGTGATTTCTACAAAAAAAATACGTCTTATGAAAAAAATGAACAAATCTAAAATTATTGTTTAAAAATAATCAATAACCCACAAACTACAATAAAGAAATATACAACTAAAAAATGAAATTTTTTTATTTTTAAGAACGAAAATAAATTGATTTAGTACCTGTCCATCAGCGGTAGATTTCAAGCTTATCAGTAAATGTTTTCCTGAACAAAAACACAGAATAATACTAATTCAAATCAAAAATGTCTAACAGAATTCGTTTATGCATTTAACTTAAACCCCCCCCCCCCCTTCAGCTCTTCTTTATAAAAATAATAATAATCTATAGAATCTAATAAATGATTTAAAGAGGCTTTAAAATGCAAACGCTTTTATAATCCATAAAGATGTATCACCAAAAATCTCTTTCATAAAAAGGCAGAATTCCACTCCGAACAAATCTTTCTAATATTCTTATATACATTTTACTTCTTATTCATCGATTTTGACATTTCTGAAATGTTCTCTAACCTGTTGAATCCAGAAATAGATTTGATATCTTTGTTCCAGGAAGAAACTAAACATAATTCACAAATAAAATACAAATATATTTTATAAAAGTTTTAAAACCATAACCTTTTTTGGTAAAAAAATCACTTAATTAACTTTTTAATCAAACTTTTTTATTTTCTTTGCTTTTAAGATCAAATTCATCCTTTTTATTATGTTTCATAACAAATTTCAGGGACCGTTGTACACTTGGATATGTGTGTTACTGCACTACTTGTCGAGAAGTTTATTTCTGATGTTGGGTTGAAATTTAAAAAATGTCTTTTTGCTTTTCACTTGTTGTGAACCGTTGATGGTCCTCTGAAAATGTGTACCTTATTCAGATCTATTTCCTCTAGAACATCAGGAGCCAAATCCTGATCTATTCTGATCAGAGTTCGATTAGCCAGTGCCATAACTAAATAAATCAATGATTTCATGATTATACTCTCTCTAACCCAACTATCACTCTAGGTTTTAAACAACTATGTAATTTTTGCAATTTTATATTTCGTTATATGTACATCATCAGATGGCTACTTATCTGTAAAAAGGATAACAAATTAAAAATAAAAAATAAAAATAGTCAATGGTATTTTAAAACAAATACAAAACTAAAGTGCAAACGATATGAAGCTATACTAATAAAGGCTTAAAACAAAAAAAAATACATGAACTAAATTAAATAAAGAGACAAAGAACCAAAAATTAAATAAATTCAGTGCTTAGGATCCGGATCCGGTGGATCGGCAAGATTTTTGCTTCCTGGATCCGGATCCGCAAAAATATGCGGATCAAAGGGGCAAAATTTCAAGCAAAAACTGCAATAAATTTTTTTCTGAACTATTTAAAAAAATCCTGATTTCTGAATGGTTCCTCAAGTTTTAGCATTAAATAAACGAAAAAAAATAAGACAAAAAATTTGAAAATTCCGCTTTGCTAAAAAATTCAGTAAATATAAAAAAATAACCTGGATCCGGAATTCCGAATCCGCATCAAAATTAAATGGATCCTAAGCACATTGTTTACAAAACAACAACAATGTACACAATGTAGATATAAATTGTTAAAAATTATGCATTTGTCTTGAAGAAAGATAAAAATTTCTTTTTGGAAGATAGCACCCCCCCCCCCCCACTTGTCGAACATGATAATGTGAAGTGACAATTTTGTATTTGGATCTAAATGTATTAATACATATACATAAATAGTATAGTATCGTATTTGTGTCTGAATTCTAATTCTTACCTATATTACTGTTGGAGACTACTAGATGAGTAAGCGGATGCTTTGGAGTAAAATTAACTTGCATCTAGACAAATAACGAAATAATAATATTTTAGTTTTAACCAGGAAGGGTATATATTTTTATTTGTTCTTAAAAACTGTTCCTGAAGATTTGGGGGAATTGTTAAATTAAACATCACCCCTAAACCCGAGTAATTTTTAAACCCATAATAAAATAGTTGAACAATCTGGAAGGATATGGTTTAAGAAGGGGGGAAGGTAACAACTTTTCAGCAACCTTTGTTCCCCTTAATCCTAGTAGATATTTTTACCTTTTTAAATATTGGCATTTCTTCCGCCAACCTTTCATTGTTAAACTGTGTTGTACCAACCATTTTAGACATTTTTATAATCTGACATATTTAATATAGGCTTATAATTGTAATAAACGTGGAATTGTGTTACTCGTCTAAATTATATTTATCACAAAAAATCTAATTGTCAGAAAAAAATGTCGATTAATTTGCCATATTCGTTAGTCATTAAGCCTGTCCTAGAGAACGATTTTTGGAACCCCCCCCCCCCAACCCGGCCTCCCATCAATTTTGTACATAACCACTTATGTTTCAGCAAAATAATTATCTTTTTTTTATTATTTTACGGTTAGGTTGGGTTAAAACGATTTCCGGACCGAGCGCTGTGGCTAGGAGAGGCTAGGAGGCCGAGCGCCGTGGCTAGGACATGCTAGGGGGCTGGGCGCTGTGGCTTTATGACCAATTATAAGATAAGATAAGATAAAGTTTATTGCTAAAATAAATGTATCTGTATACAGATAGAGTTTACAATCACAAAATTGATGATTATATTAACAGTACAAGTATAAAGCAATTATATCCATGTGTTACATCGGAGATCCATATAAAAATTTGATAGGAAAGGGGTTGGGGGGCCAAAAATTGTTCTCTAAGAAATTACCACGTTATTTAGTTATGATTTAGCTCTGACTTCCTCCCCTAACTAGCCTGGGGAGTGGGGAACCACAGTTAGAAAATGTTTTACGAATCGGATAGTTCAACGAAGGTTGGTAATTTCCTAGAGAGCGATTGGCCCCCCGCCTCCCCCCTCCCCTCCTATCAAATTTTTGCATGGATCTTAAATGTAAGACATGTGGCCGCAGCGCTCGGCCCCTAGCCTGTCCTAGCCGGAGCGCTCGGCCCATAAAGTGTCTTAACTTAACATTAACCGTGGCCACAGCGCTCGGCCCCCTAATCTGTCCTAGCCGCAGCGCTCGGCCCAGAAAGTGTCTTAACCAAACCTAACCCTAAATAATAAAAAATTTGCTGAAAAATAAGTGGTCGTGTGCAAAATTGTAAGGAGGTGGGGGGGCCGGGGGAGTGCAAAAATTGTATACTAGGACGGACCCCAAAGGTTTTACGACAAACGCTAAATAACTCTTTGTTCTTTAAATAATTTCGTATTTTTTTCTTGGTTGATCACTACCAGATATATTTGTCTCAAATTTAACTTTAATTCATTTAAATTCATAGAAGTAGAAATGTATCGTGAGTATTATCTTTACGAAAGAGAAGAGTTGGGGAGAGCTTGTTAAATTTGTTAAAACGGTTAATTAGATTTTAAATTGCAATCAAAACAAAATTTAAACGCCCATGAATTTCAGCCCGCGCCGCGCATAATCTTTGATTGAATCAAAGGAAAATTGCCTTTCATTTGAATCATACACTTAACTGTTTCAACACGAATCACTTAAATTTTCACTCTTTTCATAGATTTTCTTTACTAACTTATTCAGTTAAAAGTTAAAGAAACCTTACAATTTAATCTATTCTCGAGGAACATAAGATTTTTAAGACACTGTTGATGTACGCGGCAAAAGTCGCATTTCGGTTCATTGATGTACAGGTCGTCTTTACACTTTCTCTCTTCCAAGAGTTGCTTTAGTAAGTGTGATTTTTAAAAATCCAGCCGCCTGCCTTCCCCCGCTCGGGAGACAGATCCGTCGACTTTTAATTTAAGGTTTTGATAGTTACAAGCTTTCTAGAAAAATATTAATTCAACATTCCACAAAATATTTAATTTTTTTATTTTTAATTAATGTCAAAATTCTTACAGTTAATTCATTGTGGTACTCAATTTTCAGAAAACAGCCCCTGTTTTAGGTTAATTTTAGCCATCCAGGGTGGTGGGGGGCTCAAATTGTTCCAGGGCTGGGGGTGGGCTAACCCCTCCCCAAAATTTTTTTCCCCCGGGTACATTTTTAAGCCCCCTGTAGACTAAATCCGAAAAACGCCATTGATATGTTCCCCTTACCATATATCGACTCCGCCGTCTCGATCCACTCCAGTCAGGGTTGGGAGAGTGCTTGTTGGAAATTAAATAGCCCCACCCGGTATCATGGTATGAAAATGCAATCTGTAGATTTTTTAATAGTTTCACTGGAATGTCAAAAATATTGCCAAAAAATAAAAACCCGTAAACACACTGGTGATCGGAATTTCAAAATGTTTTGCATAATCTAAGTAGCATTGATACCAAATTTTTATTTAAAAAGTATCCGTAAATTAACTCCTATATAATTCTCACAAAATATATGTAATACACACACAAGAAACGCCAGGGCATCCTGGTAGATGATAATAATCAGAACGTGAAAAAATTGGATGTAGAATGATGTTGAGATTATACAGATGGGCACGTTCGGCTTTTTTATTTCTTTCGTTTATTTTCCACCTATTTCTTCCGTTTTCTCATTGAGCAATCGTTCAGTAACATTTTTTGTTCATTAGAATTATTCTTACAGCAATTCAAAAGATAGTTCGAAAAAACGTTCATTAAAGGGAGTGACCGGCTATGTAAGGTAGTTGAACTCGTTGAACTGAGGACGCAGTGTTGTGGAAAACTTCTTTAGGATTTATTTGAGACATATTTTACTTTTTAAAAGTATGTAAATCCTGAGTTTGAGCGCAAATTCGACGTTCAAAACTCCTGATTTGGGGGTGGATACGATTTCAGAATTAGCTTTTTTTTAAATTATTAATTAACGACGACATAAAATGTAAAAATATTCTACAATAAACTATTGACGTCATGTTTAGGAACATTTTGAGAAAATAAAAATTAATCTTATCATCGAAAATAAGTAATCTTGTTCAATTATGAGTTTCTATTATCTCATTATTCTAGTTTCTCGTTATTCATAGAGATGTTCGCAGATTTTCTATAATTATTATTGAAATAATCGATTTTAGCATTGATTTCTTGACAAATTTCTTTTGTGAAATATGTTCCTAGCCATCTATAAATTAGATTACTGTATAATTTTTATTTTATTTTTCGTTGTCGTTATTTAATAATTTTAAAAAAACTAATTCTAAAAGCGTATTCACCCCCAAATCAGGAGTTTTGAACGTCGAATTTGCGCTCAAACTCAGGATTTACAGATCTTTAAAAAGTGAAATATGTCTCAAATGAATCCTAAAGAAGTTTTTGACAACACTGCATACTCAGTTCAATTACCTTACATAGCCGGTCACTCCCTTTAAGTAAATAAAAATAGTTTTTTTCAAAATCTTTTAGAAAATTTGTTGTTAAAAATCATAATTTTTTTTTAAATTCAAATGAACGATTTTAAACCTATTGTTTTTAAAAAACTATTATTTTTCATTTATCTGAACGACACCATCGTTCACAAAAACGATGCCCATTTCTAGAATTAAGATTTAAGATAAGAATATATGAAGAATATGAATGAATATAAGGATGTGGAATTGGTATAACTTTTATTGTATGCGGATGAGATTGAGAACTTCAGGATAATAATTGGAATAGGTGGGAATATAAGATCGGATGAGGTTTATAGGAGGCATGTTATGTTAATGATGTGTATAAGTGCGGATATAAGTTCAAGTTAAAGATCATTCAAATCCATTAAAAACATGAAAGACTATGATAAGCAAATTTTTAGATTTTCAACCCCCTAAATTTAGATATAATCTAACTTGTTAAGTGTTGATTTTTTAGTTTGGACTTTGTAGTCAGCGACAATACTTTTCTTTAATTGAAATAATATACTTCATATTCTTTATTTGGTTTAAAAATAAAATTCTATATTTTAAACTGTAATTTTAAATAATTCTTAATATAAGAACTTCGTCATAGTTTACTTATAATTTATGCATTTTTGATGATGATATACACATTGAACTAAAAGACAAGTCTTTGATTGAACCAAAACGTTCAAACTCTTGCGCAAAAACTTTTAAATTTCCTTTTAAACTGGAGATAGAACCAAATGCTTTGCAGTTCTAAATATAACATACTAGCTGAAGTGCCCGGCGTTGCCTGCGGATATAAGAAAATTTTTTACAATATTTAAAAGAAAAAAAACTTTTTTTTGAAAAGTAAAAAGTTAAAAAAAAAAATTTCGAATTTTTTTTAGTCTATACACTAAAAAACACCCTCCAGCCACCCATGAGTGCCCATGATCAAATTTCAGCCCTCTCGGTCCAGCCGTTTGACCGGATATAGGCAACATATATAAATGTCTTGTTTTATTATATAGATATATACATACATACATACAATACGGACATACATACTAGAGATGTGAACGTTTTGATTTATCTAGTTTTTAGCTTTCGTTACGATAGTGTTCATCAATAGTATAAACGTTTGAAACGTTACATTGCACATTATGAAATTTTATGGGATAGAGTAACGTTATGTAACGAATTGTCTGCACTTGAATACTTTATACAACGTTAAGCTTTGGTAAATGTTTGTAAAAAAAGTAATCTACGTTAAGCTTTTGCATTTCCTGTTTTAAAAAACTTTCCCAACGTTGCGTTAAAGCAAAAGTAATATAACCACAATGTTTAATCATTCCACTTTCATGCAAGGTAATTGTTATTGTAATAACTTTTTTATTACACTATTTTACAACTGCCAATCAAAACTGTAATTATTCGTTTTGTTGATATGAAAAAATGTTCTATGTTACGATGTATTTAAATGTTCAGGCCTTAACGTTTCTTATATTACACTTCATTGAAAATCATATTATTTCTAAATCAAAGCATTACAAGATTTTTTCCGTGATAATTGCATTGGGTAGCAAAGATAGGGATTAGAAATCTGAGTTTGTGACACCAACTCAACATATGCTCCTTGTGGTTTGTAAACTAAAGCTAATGCCGCTTTTTTACTCACTTTGTAAGGAATATAAAAAAAATCACAAACAAACTAAACATTCACCACAAATTATGATTTTCTAATCTCTATATCTTTGCAAGCTGGTGTTGTAGACTTTTGATATTTCAAACTATGGCTACTGTTAGATAAGAAATTCTAAAGGAATTGAGTTGTTGTTAACTTAGATATTACAAATTTTAAAAAAACCGTTCAAATAATAATATTATAACATCTTTATATTGCTGCGTCGAAAAATTATCGATGATTATTGGTTGTACTATCTGAATGATTTGTTTGGAATTAAATTGATTTTTTTACGATCTGAGTTGAATATTGCAACTTTCTGAATTTGTATGGACGCTATGTTCTTCGGTATGAGTCGTTTTTAACAATTTTCTTCTAATAGACGCAACAGATAGAAGTAAGATTAGAAACGATCAAATGCGCTTGTTTTTCGCCGTAAGCCTATACCCCTTTTCATTTTTCGCGAACACTCCCTTTAACATTGTATAAGGTATCCAAGTGCAGAAAATTCGTTACATAACGTTACTCTATGCTATAAAATTTCATAATGTGTCATGTAACGTTTCAAACGCTTATACTTTTGATGAACACTCACAATCAAAACGTTGACATCTCTAATACATACATACATATATACACTTATATATAATATATATAAAGATAGAGAGAGAGCTTTAAAATATATAATTGAGCTTGTAAAATCAAACTAAAGGCCAAGGCGTTAGGACATTTTAAAGTCGACCCTGAATTGAATTTCGAAGACTAATTTTCATATCTGTCTAGATCTCTGTGTATATTATCATCTAATCCTGATGAGATATTTCATATCCATCTCGTATCCAAACAGATGAAAATCCATCTCGTACAGTTGGAATAAATCATTTATCTCTTCTTCGTTCAGTAAATTAAAATATGCATCCCTGAAATAAAAAGTATATTATAGTTTTAAATGTAAAGATATGGCAGTACTCTTCACACTTTTATTTAAACAATAATTTGAAAGAAATTGTTGTACTTTTAGCTTGAAAATTGTTTATTTCTAACAATTTCAGTAATTTTCTGTAGTAAGAAATCCACAAATAACTTTTATGGAGAAACCCACAATTTAAAATAATTAGCTTTAAAAATAAAAAAGGATATTTTTTGTAATCATACAGGGTGTCCCAAAAACATAGGAATTCAGTGACGAATTGGATATCGTCTTTGTTATGAATTAGCATTGTAATACCTAATTTCAAACCCATAATATTATTATGTCTGCTAGAGTTTATTTTATGAAAAGGGTAAAAGACTGTAAAGATGTGTCTATAATGTCTCCGCAAGATGAACAGTGAAGACGGACAAGTTTACTCTGTTTGTATACTGCAATTTTCTTGTTTTACTAAGTACAACCGTATGCAGTAAAAACATAAACAAACAAAATGTGAACATAGCAGACGAAACTCTTACAGATTACAGCTTTCTCAGTAGGTATCATTATTAAAATCTTAGAATTATTTAAAAAGACGATATCGAATTCGTCACTGAATTTCCATGTTTATTGGGACACCCTGTTTATAAATGGAGGGTCGCTTAACATTTCGTCTATTGTCCGTGCTCTTAACCAGTGATTAACAAAACTTTTACATTTTTTCTTGCAAGTTTTTTCTACAGCATAAAAATGAATTAAAAATCTTTATAAGATTCTCGAGCTGGGCGAAAAAGATTGAACAGAAGTTACACTTCTTTGTTTTTTTTCAATATGAATATGATAATCCGAGAATTTTAACGTTCTGAAGGAAACCATGTCGACGTAATTTATTTAGTGACCGTTAATTTTTGAAGTTGCATGCTCGATGTACAACAGTACCTTTAAATCTTCGTCTGACAAAAAATGTCAAACAAAATTTTCCTTTTTACCATCATAAATTCTATGTTTCTTTGTCAAAAGAATCCAACAATTGTTGGATCGAAAAATGACTTACTTATCATTGATCAGATAAGGATATTCCGTTGTTATCTATATATAAAAATTTGGCTTGTCTGTCTGTTTGTTTGTATCCAATAAACGTTAAAACGGCTGAACCGATCGGGCCCAAATTTTTTGTGAGACATCACGTGACCACAGGGAAGGTTTACGAATGATAAAAATTAAAAAAATGTGTTTTAAAGGTTTTTAATTTTGTAAAAAATTTAAATTTTTGAAAATCCGCGAAATTTTTTTCTTTGTTTTGAAATGTAAACAAAAAGAACATGTTCAGAATTTAAATAGAAGATGGGCGCGAAGCGCCCTAAAAGCATAGTCTATATATATACTTTGTTTGTTTGTCAGTTTGTATCCAATAAGCGTCAAAACAATGAACCGATCCGGCCCAAATTATGTGTGGGACCTCGCTTGACCCGGGGAAGGTTTATGGAAGATTAAATTTTCAAAAATTTGCTGCTGACAAATTCGATTTTTTGAAAACTTTGAAAATCCACAAAAATATTTTTATAAAATCCGCAAATTTTGTTTGTTTTTGATTTACACAAAGAGAACATGTTCAAAGTTAAAATAGAGGATGACTATATTGCATGAAACTGTTTAATTGAATTTAAAGGTCAAAGAGTTTAGAAAGAAAATAAATGTTTGAATTAACCTAATATGTTGATCAATGGGTTGGCCAGGGTATCTGTTCTCCCACTGAGGGATTATGAGATCCTCCACATTCAAGCGGTTTAATAAATATCTGCAATCACAAAATAATAATCAGACAGGGTTACCCACAAAGGATGAAACTGTAAAGACGACTTGAAACCCCTAAAATATGACGATTCCAAGTTTAAAATATGTCTTCTGCCTTGAATGTGGTCTTGAAATGGTTTATTTAATGATTTGGAAAAAACAAGTTTATGGTTGCAGGGAATCATGTGTATAATTAAATATACAGTATAAATTCCGCACAGTCGTCTCTGGCGTCTTATCCCTTGTGGGAATTCCTGTATAGACTGGTTCCTGGAATAAAAACATTATACAAAGTTAAAGGTGTTGTAATTGAAAGAATTATTCAACCCTGATTCGGCGAATAAGGATAGAATCCATCTTTATAATCTCATCTTTTTTATTATTATTATAATAATATCATTGTTTGTTATTTGTATTGTTTTAGTGCCCAAAAAAAATATTTAATAATATGATTTTTCAATTTTTTCTTGATATATTTGTTTTGAAAAAACAAAGCTAATTTACCTTTCTTCAGCTGCCATATTTTCATATTTTATTATAACGTTATAGTTTAGTCCTTTTCTGCAGAAGCTGCAGAGATCACTGATAGGCATCCAGTGATCGTCCATTAATTCATCCTACACAATAGAAAAAAGATATAGGCCTCCAGTGATCATTCATTAATTCATCCTATGCACACAAAAAATAGATATCATTGATTGGCCTCCAGTGATCATCCTATACACATAGAAAAAGAGATCATTGATAGGCCTGCAGTGATCATCCTATACACATCCTACACAATAGAAAAAAGATATAGGCCTCCAGTGATCATTCATTAATTCATCCTATGCACACAAAAAATAGATATCATTGATTGGCCTCAGTGATCATCCTATACACAAGGAAAAAGAGATCATTGATAGGCCTGCAGTGATCATCCTATTCACAAGGAAAAGAGATCATTCATAAGCCTGCAGTGATCATTCTATACACAAGGAAAAAGATATCATTGATAGGCCTCCAGTGAACATCCTATACACATAGAAAAAAGATATCATTGATAGGCCTGCAGTGATCATCCTATACACATAGAAAAAGAGATAATTGATAGGCCTGCAGTGATCATCCTATACACAAGGACAAAGAGATCATTGATAGACCTGCAGTGATCATCCTATACACATAGAAAAAGAGATCATTGATAGGCCTGCAGTGATCATCCTATACACAAGGAAAAAGAGATCATTGATAGGCCTGCAGTGATCATCCTATACACAAAGAAAAAGAGATCATTGATAGGCCTGCAGTGATCATCCTATACACAAAGAAAAAGAAATCATTGATAGGCCTCCAGTAATCATCCTAAACACAAAGAAAAAGAGATCATTGATAGGCCTGCAGTGATCATCCTATACACAAGGAAAAATATATCATTGATAGGCCTCCAGAAATCATCCTATTCACAAGGAAATAGAGATCATTGAATTTTATTCCAAAATAAAATATAAAGGTAAACTTCAACAAAAAAATCTTCTGAAGGAACACATTTTAAAAGGATAAACTTTAGTAAGTATAAATTCCGAAAATTTCAATTTAGACTACTGGGAAAAGTCTTTTAGTAGTTTGTCTTAAAAAAGTGTCTTTTAGAATTTTTATTCCTTTACAGAATGTCCTGTAGAATATGGCCTTTCTGTAGAGGTCATTTAAGTCTATTTTTCCTTGTATGTCTTTCAGGGGTTGTATTTCATATCATACGGTGGTAGGCGATTATATCAATATAATGATGACGAGTTTAAATTTAAAGTTTGATTTATATCAAGATTTCAAACAACATGGATACACAAAAACAAAGAAACAGAGATAAGATATCAATTAAAAAAGCTTCACTTTAATTGCTTGTAAACTTGTAATTCGAAAAAAAGCTTATTCAAAATTAAAACTTAAACAAAAAGCCGTCTTCATTATACTGATATAATCCCCTATCACCGTAGTAAATCATCACCTCTATAATTGCTGTAACAAACTCCCAGAAAGTAGGTTCTGATCCTTTCCTTCCAGGGACAACCATTGGAGCACCGTTATTCATATTCCTCTGAAAATAAAGTCTTAATCATCAGAATAAAGCGGCATACAAGTTATCGTCTTCAAATTAGAAAAAGTCGGAAAAGTTTTTTAATCTGTAAATGTTCACATGTTATGATTGATACACGGTTACCCACAAAGGATGATATATTAATGACGACATGAAATTTTCCGTTTTGGATAGATTACTAAATGATGTGGGGGAAAAAATATCGAAAATAACAAATATTTTTTAAAACTTCAACTGAAAGTCAATTCTTCACCAAAAAATTTGGAAAACATGTATACATTCAGTTAAACCCTAAATGAGTCATACATCGAAAGAATTTATCAAATGTCGTCTTGACAATTTTAAAATAGGTTTTATACTATTTTACGTAAATCTCAGTATAAATAAATAGCCATGAATATGCAGGAACAGTTCTAAAGAGCTCCATATAATCATTTAATTAAAAAACTAAATATCTGCAACATTCCATTATCTGAAAGTGAAGATTTGATGAATTCTTTCGATGTGATTATGTAATTTGAAATTGTATTTAATCAAATTTATTATTATTTCTCCAACCTGATAGAATTTGTGTCCAAACCTAGCGATTCCTCTCTCTCTGTATCGTATTCGTGTTACATTTAGGGGAAACAACACATTTATATTAAATGGGATCCACAGTTTGTCTTTATACTACCAGGAAATTCAAAGGGCTTGAAGGGAGTGTTCGCGAAAAATGAAAGGGGGTATAGGCTTGCAGCGAAAAAAAGCGCCTTTGATTGCTACTAATATTACTTCTATCTGTTGCGTCTATAAGGAGAAAATTGTTATATATTGTTTATATTTTCCAGAAATGTTCGAAAATCCAGCGCCAGCGAAAATTATTTTTTTTTAAATCAAAAAGAAACGCTTATTTTTCGCCGTAAACTTATACCCTCTTTCATCGAAAATCAGAGTTTGTAACAAATACTCAATTTCTTAGTGAGGTTTTCAAAATTTTTGAACTAGTTCATCTTATATAAAATAACACGTCGGGATATGTAGTTCTTTTGTAAAACTCGAGAAAATTCTTTTCATGGAATGTTAGTGCATTAATACCATTACAATTTTATAAATTTTTAATCGATGGCTAGACACACAAGGTTTTGTGTTAACCATTATTAAGATTGATGAAATCTATTAAAATTGTTTAAATTGTTGAAATATAAATATGTACACACTAGCCTGTATTTACGAACAATTTCTTTTCCATACAGATTATAATAGTATCTGTTTTTCTAAAATTAAAGATTATTTTGAAAGATGTCATATGTTTTTTTTAGTAACTGCAGGATGTTATTTGCACGAAATATGTGCCTTTAATGACATTTTAAACCTAAAATGTCAAAATATCGGACAGTGGACTTAGGTAGAATTTTGTCTTTTTTTCGCACATCAAAACAATTTTTATTAAAATTGTTTAAGAGAATGTAAGAATAAAGACTGAAAAATGTCGTCCAGCCGTCTCTGATATCTTGTTCTTTAATTTTTACAAGTATGAAAAGATGAGAATCTGTAGGCATTACTTTTTCAATAAATCATATTCTTGATTGAAAAATGGAAATTAACTACATTTTATTAGAATTGCAATATTTAATAATCTTTATTTGAATCTCATGCTTTTTCTCGTTAAATGTAATAATTCAAATTTTTATTAAAAAAACGGTTTTAATGTTGAACAATTTAAGCTTTATGGTTTATGCACACTGTTTGAAATACACTTACTCATCGTAGCACCTGCAGTCATGATGTGAGCGTGCACATTCTGACCAGTGCTATGCAGACTCGCAGGGTAGCTCTGGACCTTCTGAATTCCAGTCTGAGAGGGTCCAGAGCTACTCTGCAAAGCACTGGTCAGACTCTGCAGTCTGCAAAGAACTGGTCAGAATGTGCACGCTCTCATCTGACTATGCTTGATGAGTAAGTATAATTAAAATAGTGCATTTGACCACATTGTTTATTTTTTTATTTTAAGTCTTTTCCTCTTTCTGCCATAACAGGATGCCCAAATAAACATGGAAGACTGATCTTGAGTTATGTATCATCTTTTTATCACGCGGTATTATTTCGTTATCAACATTTAATAATATCCCACTTAAAACAGTTAACACCTCAATTACTATTCTTGGGAATTCCAAAATGTGGTCTATCCAAAGATAATATATAATCATATTATCACCTGGGTCTACCACTTTTGTATACCTTTAAAGTTATTGAGAAAATTGTCCAGATTCCAATTTTTCAAATAGTACATCAAAATTGCTTAATTCTTCAATATCAATGTCAATATTAAAGATACAAAATAGGTAGACTACATTTTGGAAATCTCAAAAAACATAAAAATCTTTCTTTCGTACCCTTGTTGTAATCTATCCACTATTAGAAATCAAAACCGATTTTCAAGTTGTCTCCAAATTCAAATTTATATTGGTATTGGGAAACCCTGTAAGACGCTCCTTACCCTCTCCATCTTGTCCCTATATGCTGATAGAAGACGATCAAATGGATGCCGCACTATCAGGAAGCTGACAGACTTCGATAGAGAAACCAATAAGTAATTACAAGATCAAAGATTAAAATTAAAATTCACTTTGAACAGTTTTCAGGCTTATTGATGGAACTAATCCGATTGTAAAATCCGATTGTTTAATCCGATTTGATTTAAATTTTGTATTTTTAAGATTTTGAATAATTTAGAAATTTTATTTTTGTTTCTCTACCTCTGAAGTTGGTTTAGATAATAACTCTTTGATCTTCTGTGTTGGCAAAACTGGAGCAATTGCTCTAAATTAGATAAACATTACTGTAGATTACTGGGATTACTGGGATTACTGGGATTGTCTTTGTTAACAAACGAAATTTTTCAAAGACAAAGGTTGTTTTCAGAACGACATTAGAATTTAACAAACGATGAACGTTTTTTTTACTGAACGAACGATTTTTTTGGATAAACTTGAATAAACGTGTATTGATTTCTTTAGAATGACCAGTTTCAAACTACTCGCTCTATAAAAACTGTGTTTTCTTTAATTCTTTATTCAGATGGTGTTACTTGGTAGAAGAGAGTTTGGATGTTTAACTGAAATAGATTGAAGAATTATAGCAACAATATAACATTGATAAGAACAATTTTTATAATGATTTCATATAATTACTTACACGAATGTCATCTATTAAGAAAGAAATCAAAGTAAGTTTACATAAGCGTCCATGGTTGGTTTAGGCCTTACTGAAGCTATACTCAGGATCCAGGCACACATATGTGCGTGCGCGTAGCAATTGGAAATGTACATATTCTATATAGTAAAATGGGAATAGATCAAATGCCTAATTTCAAAACAAAACGAACACGAAGGATTTATATGGAAAATGGACCATAGTCCATAATTCTGAAACGAACGAATTTCAAATGTTTTCTAATAAATAATATGAACAATTGAAATCTAAAAAAAAGCGAATGCGCCCATCTCTAAACATGAATATTGAAATAACAATTATTTTCTATTATGATTCTTTTTCAAGAACAAGTTTTAACTGTCGATACAACTATGTCCACTCTTTTGCTTAAAAAGGTTTTTTGTCCAACATAACAGTAGTAAACATAATTTGATGTTTTTATAATTTTTCTGTTTTTAGAAGATTGTTTTAACAATAATTTTGATACAGGAGAAGTAATCTTTTTTGTCGGATTTTCATAATTTGAAACTATTTCTAAATGATTAAATTGTGTAAAGGCAATTTTAGAATTTATTAATTAAAAACTTAAAACTTCATTTTTATTTCCGGTGTCCGAATTTAATGAATTTGAGCCGCGTCCTAAATCCGCCAAAAACCGATTTCAATTGAGCGCCGGCATAAATCTTGAAACAATGAATACGATTTTAAGTGGAACCAACCATATTTGAGCCGCGGCTTAAATTTAAGCCGTGACTCAAATCCTTTAAATTCGGCCTCAGGGTATAAGTTTATAAAATAAAATTGTTGGTTTACCTAGCAAGTGATATTGGCTGATAAGCTTTCTTTGCCTGGTTTAGCATTCAAATTAGTAGTTTTTTTTGGTGAAATTATGAAATGACATTATATCATTATTTACCAAATAACAAAACTAAGATATCTAATCCAAAAAAGGAGGTTACGGTCGAAATTAAGGGGAGGGGTTGATTTTTCTCACAACTTTTCAATTTAGATAATAAACGTTTTTTTCGTCTAAAACTAAAAATTTTCAAGTTTGAATATTTTCCTTACGGATTCGTAATATTTGGCTTGGGGTGTAATAACTCAGCTGAACAGGAAATAATCATTAAAATAATTAAAAAATTAAATTTAACCAAATAACTATTGACGCATTATCATCTTACTTTCTTAGCATGTAAATGGAAAAGAGTTTTTACTTAGTAAACTTGGCATGCAGTAAGAACAAGAAAACAGTGCTTGTAATTTCTGCCGTAAAAGGGAGAATGCATATGAAATTTGTTCCACAGTTTTATGGTTCTCTCTGTAAAGATTAAAATCAAAGAAGTTCGCAGTAAGATTTTGTTTCCGCTGGAGACCAGCGGAGGAATTTCATTTTCACTGGAGGGGTTTGAAAAATCGCGATTTACAATTCAAAACTTTATGCGGGGTGATTTACATTCCACTGGAGGGATTCAGATATCTTTCCAAGGAGTTTACAACTCCACTGCACTGAAGGGATTCAGATATTCACCCAGGGTGTTTCACTGGAATTATAAACCATCTGGATGAATATCTGAATCCCTCCAGTGGAAATATAAACCCCCTGGATGATTATCTAAATCCCTCCAGTGGCATTTTAAACACCCTCGGTGAATATTTGAATCCTCTAGTGGAATTATAAACCCCCTGGAAGGATATCTGAATCCCTCCAGTGGAGTTATAAACTCTCTGTAAGGATATCTGACTCCCTCCAGTGGAAAATATCTGAATCCCTCCAGTGGAGTTATAAACCCCTTGGATGGATACCTGAATCCATCCAGTGGAGTTAAAAAAAAACCCTGAAAAGATATCTTTATCCCTCCAGTGGAATGTAGATCACCCTGCGTAAAGTTTTGAATTGTAAATCGCGATTTTTTAAACCCCTCCAGGGAAAATGAAATCCCTCCGGTGGTCTCCAGTGGAGTAAAAATCTTACTACGAACTTCCGTGACTCTAAAAGTTATCACTAATATTAGTCTTGAAAGCGATGATTTTGATAATTTTCATATGATTGGTCGGTAATTTATCAAAAACCATAAGATTTTTTTATTTAAAGATTATTCCGAAGTTCCTTGACAATGTTTTTGAACCAGTTAGAAGAAGCTGCTTTGTAGACGGGACACCAAAATAATCCCTCTCTACAAAAATATATATATTTGCTTTAAAGGGACTGTTTGCATAAAATCTGCCGTACAAGATTTCTATGAGGAATAAGAGATCTGTTTATCGATATCCATTGGCTGTATTCGAATTAACAAAATCACAATGTTCACAAATCGATATCCATGGGCTGTATTGGAATAAACAAAATCACACTATTCTCAATCCACCAAAGCGTATTGATAAGCAAAAAAGTAATTATTTAAAAAGTTTTAAAAATACTCGTTTAATCGTTAAAAACAGGTTCACATGTGAACGGTCTTCCGTAAATAATGGCAAGAAATTTGAATCAACGAGCACCATAAATCTATATGAAAAAGCTCATTTGTATATAAAATGTATGGATATGGGGTAACAAAGGCTAAAAAATGAGCTAGTGTGTAAATATATATATAGTTAATTCCCTGGGTAGAATAAATAGTTTAGTATTATCCAGTTCCTCAGTTGGTCCATCAGGGTAGTATTCAGAACATACTTTTCTTAATAGATCAAATATATACATATATATATATCAGGGTAGTATTCAGAACATACTTTTCTTAATAGATCAAATATATACATATATATATATATATATATATATATATTCCACTCTTTTGCTTAAAAAGGTTTTTTGTCCAACATAACAGTAGTAAACATAATTTGATGTTTTTATAATTTTTCTGTTTTTAGAAGATTGTTTTAACAATAATTTTGATACAGGAGAAGTAATCTTTTTTGTCGGATTTTCATAATTTGAAACTATTTCTAAATGATTAAATTGTGTAAAGGCAATTTTAGAATTTATTAATTAAAAACTTAAAACTTCATTTTTATTTCCGGTGTCCGAATTTAATGAATTTGAGCCGCGTCCTAAATCCGCCAAAAACCGATTTCAATTGAGCGCCGGCATAAATCTTGAAACAATGAATACGATTTTAAGTGGAACCAACCATATTTGAGCCGCGGCTTAAATTTAAGCCGTGACTCAAATCCTTTAAATTCGGCCTCAGGGTATAAGTTTATAAAATAAAATTGTTGGTTTACCTAGCAAGTGATATTGGCTGATAAGCTTTCTTTGCCTGGTTTAGCATTCAAATTAGTNAAAATCCGGATGCAATGATAAGTAAGTTACAGTCGTCATCGTATATATCAATACAATGAAGACGACATTTAATTTAAACTTTTGTTTGCTACCAAGCCTTTAAACTGCATATATACATAAACAACAAGACCAAGAGAAGTTGTCAACAAACAGCTTCTCATTGCTTACTTGTAAAAATCTTGTTTGAAATTCAAACTGAGAAATAAATGTCGTCTTTGTGTATTGATATAAACGCTGACCACTGTAGGAACCTTATATACTTAAAAGTTATATTTGATAGATTAACAAGCTAGAAAGTAAAATCAACATTGAGTGAAATGGGTCTCTTATAACACTGCACAATTGCTTGTTCATGGCACTATTTAAGATTATAAATCGTCTTCTTATTTCACAGTTTTACGGGTCCTACAATGTATACAAGTAAAAAAAGCATTGGATCGTTTTTTTTTTGGTTTGAAAAGGTCTAGACAAAGTGTTAACTGCACTTCTAAAAAGTTTCACGAAAGAGGTAACAAGGGCAGGGTTGCGGAGAGGCTGATCATAATTAATCCGAGTATAATATGCTATTTTTAAAGCCTGTTTACCTGATCGTATCTTGTCTTCGGTTCATTTCTGAGTCCATAACACAATTTTGAAGCGAGTTAATTTCTAGAATAAAGAAAGTAGTTTTTTATTAAAGTTTATACGCACATGTCAAAAAGCAGCCGTATTCTCGCAAAGAGAGGAACCCAGAGCGCTTTCAAAAAAGGTGTGTAATCTCATTATTTTTAATTACAACATCTAAAAATTGGTTGAAGAGTTTGTAAAGTCATTTAAAAATACATATTAACAACAGTTTTTGGATTTATAAACACAACCAAGAAATCATAAAGCTCAAAGTTATCTCTGATAGAAGATTTCAGACCTAATGTTTATTTCACAATTACAAAAAAAATTAAATAAAGAAATCGTATTTATTATTTTATTATCTATCATTTCAAGCGATAAGTATAACAACTAAACTCAACATATATAAAAATGTTATTTCATGGCCGAGCATAAACCCAAGAATTGATCAAAGAAGCTAGCAGAGCATCTTTAGGTGGAAAGATTGTATTTGATGTTTTCTCTTAACTAAACAATTAGGAAATTAAGTCCAATCAAAAATAAGTGATCACTCCCTTTAAATCCCTATGTCCACGCGTTGGTGTGTAGTTTTTGAAATAAGTGATCACTCCCTTTAAATCCCTATGTCCACGCGTTGGTGTGTAGTTTTTGAAATAAGTGATCACTCCCTTTAAATCCCTATGTCCACGCGTTGGTGTGTAGTTTTNTTATTATAATTATTATTATGGTCGGCACACACAGTAATCATGAGGCGAAAACCTATTACACTTATTTTACCTTTGTTCAATGGAGAGAGAGGGTGGGGGGGCACGTGTCATTTAAAATTACAAGTATTTATATTTTTCTATTTATATAGAAAACGTGACGAGGAGGAAAAGTATAATTATCTATTAAATGGGTTCCAGGAAAAGGGGTTTATTATATATTTATAAAACGTCTGATGTTGATTTATTGATTTAGTTTACATTCATTCACACAAACCAAAAGACTACATACAATTAAATATAATATTTAACTTAATCAAAATTTGAGATAAATGGTCCAGGTGTTCCTGAGTTATGATCAGACATACAAAGAGACAGACAGACAAGCAGAGAGTATTTCTAAATATATACCTTCACTTGCACATACAAAGCGTGTTTAAATTTGAAAATAGACAGTTTTTTTATTTGGGAAGCATCGAGTAAACATTTCATAATTCCCAATTTGACTATTTGATTTCTTAAATAGCATGAAATATCGAAAAATAAAAATAAGAGGATTGGTAGAAATCAGTTTTATAGTTTTTAAGTTCTCTATGAGAATAAAAAGCATACCTTGTGGAACAATTCTGGAACAGTTCTGGAGGAAGTAATCATGATAACCTTTCTCGTCCAAACCATCTATTATCATCATTATTATTNTATTTTGGTTCGCAGTGTTATAAAGTTTTTGGACAGAAATTTTCTCTTTATCGAGAAGGTTCAAGCCTTTTAAGATTTAATTTTGTCTTTAGCCCGTGCTATGATATACAGCTAATTTAACTTTATAGCACGATGATTACTTTATAGCACAATGATTATTTTATAGCACGTTCTTTATGAAATTCACGATAAAGTGAGTAATAATGATAAAGTACACTATAGTTTCATAAAAATAAAAACAAAAACACCAAGGGAGAGGTGTTGAGCTTTATTTGAAGCTAGCTTGGGAGTTAGGAACCAGCGCTGCACAGGGGGGTCATAGTTAGTCTCACCGATTACCCGCGCTTTGTCGTAAATTATGATTTTACCTATTTATCCCGATATAAGTCGATCCACTCAACTTAGAATCTAAGAAAATTCCCGTGGGTCTCCCAAGTTCCCCCAATCAAAATTTGAGGCAAATCGGTACAGGGTTCCTACGTTATGATCGGACAAACAAACAGACAAACGGAGATTACAACTTTATATATATAGATAGCTGATAATATTTTGTCAACATTTCAGAAGGGGGTAGTCCATTACCCCCCTGATTGAAATTACGTAATTTTTTTTAAAAACCATTTTTAAAAAAAAAGTTTAAAAAATGGATTATTAAGTTATTAACTCATTTATTTGCCTACCCTGTACTATAAAGAAACTGTAACTTTTGTAGGGTTAGGGTGGTAAATAAAACTTTTTAGCAAAAGAGGGATGGGGGGGGATATCTTTTTATAAGATTACATGGGGTGGGGTAAAAATATCCCCCCCATAAGTTCAAGATTGTGGAGCTTAAGGAGAGTGCCGACATAAGTTCAAGATTGTGGAGCTTAAAGAGAGTGCCGACGTAAGTTTATAATTACCAGGATACATGATGGAGGGAGAAAATGTTTTATGAAAGGTTTGCGCCAAAGTAATATTTTTCTTCTCAAAGTAAGAACTGCTTTTTGCAGGAAAAATGGGCCTCTGAAATAAATACTATGATAATAATTCTTCTTTAATTCGAATTTTTACCTTTCTTTTATCTTCCCATTTGGAGCTCAATTTTCTTTTTGAAGATTTCAGCACAACTAGAAAATGTCAAATTAAAGTAAAGTAAAGTCTTTTCCACAAACTCAAATTTTCTAATCCCTATAATAAATATAGTAGTAAACCCCATATTTATAAACCTGAACATACCTGTACGTATAAAATACGTTATAACATTTCTGTATTCTAATTACGTTCGTTTATTCCTGAGAAAACCTATCTGTCCTTATCATTAACTTGTATTACAGTTTAGTTTAATTACGTCCATAATTTAACATGTTCCATTAAACTCAAAATATAGTTAGTTGGAATAAGACTCTGCTAGATTTTGAAATTAGAATAGTTGTTCCTTGTGTAGCGAACAAGAGGGACCTGAGTAGTATCTCGATTAATAGATATGAACTAGGAAATACAGAGAGTGTTGTATCAGGATTGATACAGCAAGAAGTTCTAGAGAGTTTGTACCTATATAGGGGATACATACTGAAGAATACAATACCGTTGTATCTGGATTGATACAGACTGAGTATTATTAATCGACCAGAGAGTTCGAGAGCGAGTTGTACCTGGGCGATACGGACTAATTTATTATTGTAGACAACGGAGTTCTACAGAGTTTGTATCCGGATTGATACTGACTTAAGAAAACTTATTGGAGTAAGGCATTCATTACATCCCTATATCTTTGCAACCTGATAGTGAAAAACTTTGATATTTCAAACATAATTTATAATTTGAAATATCTGAGATCTACAACATTGGGTTGCATAGATCAGAAAATCATAGTAATTGATTAGTTTGAAATCTTATATGTTATCAATCATAATTCCTTTATTCAAAAGATTTTTTTAGAAGAACAAAAATGTTTTAAATTTGTATTATGCAAACACATAAATTTGTTCTTCTCAAACTTTAACGTTAATTGTAAACAAAGCAAGTTTCAAGATCACAAAATTGTACTTGCATTTCCGCAGGAATTTGACCTTTTCCTTTTGTACCGCTTAAACTTAAAAAATTGATATAAATATATATCATTACAGAAGTTAAGAAGTACAAAAGGACTGCTTTCTAATTTAATGCGAGCAAAACACTTTTAGCTGATCAAATGATACGGGATATAAATTAATAATCATATCAACATGTTTTAGCGACCTTCTGGAGTTTTTTCACCCCAAAGTTTTTCTTTCATGGCCGGCAATTTTGATATCACATAAAATTTTCTTTTCTCAAACAATGCCAACCCGGCCCACCGCAGTAAAAAAACTGAAATAAAAAAATGTAAAATTGATCCATTTTGCGTTTGGATGACTGCTTGCATCTTTGATTTTTATTTGATTTTTATGTTATCGCAAAAGTGTTCCAAATATAAAAAAAATGTTATTGAAAGTCAGATTTACTTTTTACAATCTGATGAAAGTACAATTATTTCGTAAAAATGAGAATAAAATTTTTTGTTCAGTGTTGTCGATATAAATATGCTTCTTTTTTTACTACAAAGGAAATGAGTTTTTGTCACAAACTCTACTTTTCTAATCCCTTTATATTTGCTACCCAATGTCGATATGTTGATATTTCAAACTATGAATTCTGTTAGACCTTACAATATAAGTTTGAAATAACAAATGTTTATATCATCAGATTGTAAAGATATAGAGATTAGACAGTTTGAGTTTGTGACAAAAACTCAGTTCCTTTGCGTAGATATTACAAAACTCACAGAATAATTTTTAAGCAAAAAACGCTTTAAGCAATTAACTGACACAATTTAAAGGATTTTAAAAATATTCAATAAGCAACATGAGTTAATATTTTATTGAATGTTTAATTTATTTACATTTGATGCATTTGATTGTGGTGTATGAGGTCAATCACAATTTGATTGCCCAAGCCTTCCGCCTTGCCGTCCTATTATGCAACACTGCTTATTAAAATCAAGCTTTGTTACTATCTTTAATATTGTTTACATTAAACTATAACTTCCTGAGCTACACTAAAACAGTTAAAATGCAATGTAAACTAAAGTTCTTAAACTCCCTGGTGTAAACCATCCTCTTAAGCAGGCTAATACAGCTTCAATTTGCAAAGTAATAAATCAAAACGATTATTACTATTTCTTCTTTTTGCTTCAATTAGAGAGATAATTAACAGCTAGATTTCACGGCCACCATTTTCATTATTTTTATTTGTTCTTTCGAAGTTTTAAAACCTTTTTTCTCTCTTTTAATTATAGAGATAATTAACAGATACATTTCATAAATTTACGGCAACCATTTTTTATTATTTTTGATTGTTTTATACATAAAGAATAGAAACGAAAAGTCAAAGCGTATCTCATAATTCCCTCAGGTGTACACAGATGCTTCCAAGAATGTAAACAAATATTGATGTACACAATCGACAAGTCTATACATTTTTCAATGGCTGGCCGTTGGTTATATGAATGTGTACATCTCTGTGAAGATTATGAGATACTCTTCGTTTCCACTCTCTATGGGGTTAGACCTTAAAAGGAAAATCAGTTATAAAATTACGACTAATAAATAAATATCTATATAACTCCACTGTTATATAAAAATATCGAACATTTGGGTAGAAATTTCGAACAGAATTCTAAGAAAATAAAGATATGTGTAATACCCCAATCTCCCCTAGCAATCTATTCACAATTTCGAATAAAATTAACAAAATTTTGAAATGCTTTCGGTAGTTCGACGTTAATGTTCCAATATGTTTTTTGTATTTTTTTCTAATAATAAAATTAACATTGTATCATGCCTATCAAATATGGCCTATTGAGTTAACTGGATATCTCAATGTTAATTAAGGCTCAGTAAAAAGATTAAACGTACAGAATATTAATTTTACCTATTTTTTCAGTGGCTTGTTTACTTGTGTTTCTCTCCCTCTTTTCCAGCAGATTCAAGTCCTATAAAAGAGACATAATTCGTCGGGATTGTGGAGCTTAAAGAGAGTGCCGACGTAAGTTTAAGATTGTGGAGCTTAAAGAGATTGCCGACGTAAGTTCAAGATTGTGGAGCTTAAAGAGATTGCCGACGTAAGTTCAAGATTGTGGAGCTTAAGGAGAGTGCCGACATAAGTTCAAGATTGTGGAGCTTAAGGAGATTGTCGACGTAAGTTCAAGATTTTGGAGCTTAAAGAGAGTCACGACGTAAGTTTAAGATTATGGAGCTTAAGGAGAGTGCCGACGTAAGTTCAAGATTGTGCAAGCTTAAAGAGACTGTCGACGTAATTTCAAGATTGTGGAGCTTAAGGAGAGTTCCGACATAAGTTTAAGATTGTGGAGCTTAAAGAGAGTGCCGACGTAAGTTCAAGATTTTGGAGCTTAAGGAGAGTGCCGACATAAGTTTAAGATTGTGGAGCTTAAGGAGAGTGCCGACGTAAGTTCAAGATTTTGGAGCTTAAGGAGAGTGCCGACATAAGTTCAAGATTGTGGAGCTTAAAGAGATTGCCGACATAAGTTCAAGATTGTGGATCTTAAAGAGATTGTCGACGAGAGTTCAAGATTGTAAAGCTTAAAGAGAGTGCCGACGTAAGTTCAATCGACCCTTTATTTACAAATTAGTATGTCCGATTCAAAACAACGTAGGAGAAATCGTCATTTTTCTTTCTTAAAACGAATTGAATTCAAACAACTTACTTTAATGTCTCTGCTACTTTTAGAGAGAACCCACAATTAAAAAAATCAATATTCAGATAGAAAATTAAATCCTTTATTAAGGATTAAAGAGTACCTTTGTAAATCCTTTATTAAATCCTTTATTAAGGATTAAAGAGTACCTTTGTAAATGCTTTATTAAATCCTTTATTAAGGATTAAGGAGTACCTTTGTAAATCCTTTATTAAATCCTTTATTAAGGATTAAAGAGTACCTTAGTAAATCGGCACTCAATATATGGAGAGTTACATGAAACAATGTCTTTATTCCCTTTAATCCTTTATTAAGGATTAAAGAGTACCTTTGTAAATGGCACTCAACATATGGAGAGTTACATGAAACAATGTCTTTATTCCCTTTAATCCTTTATTAAGGATTAAAGAGTACCTTTGTAAATGGCACTCAACATATGGAGAGTTACATGAAACAATGTCTTTATTCCCTTTATTAAGGATTAAAGAGTACCTTTGTAAATCGGCACTCAACATATGGAGAGTTACATGAAACAATGTCTTTATTCCCTTTAAAAGCTACTTGATTAAGTTTTTAAATAAAAAGATTTATTATATAATTATGGTTTTTTTCAAAAAAAAACTAGAAAACAACTAGAAAACTAGAAAAATTAAATTTGTGGAAAAAACTCAAGTTCTTTACATTAAATTACTTTATACCTGTGGAAAGGTGTAGAGTAGAAGGACATGAAATCCTAGAACAAGAATCAAAAAGAAAAGAAAAGAACTTAATTCTGAGCTTCGTCCCCTCATTCGTATACACCTAGCTGTAACCATTTTTAATCATCTATATCAATATTACAACATTTATCAACATTTTTTAAAGTATCACCTCATAACTATGAGGGCCCCCCCTCCCTCCATTTGATCCAAGAAACTTTGTATGGGTGTAATGGGACCCGGGAGACTTTTTATATATGAGGTGATGAAATGTATTTGGCTTAAAATGAAATCCAATTATTATCGCACTAACTTGGAAAAAATTATGTTATTTTCACCATTTGCCCCCTTTTTTAACCTGAAGTTTCACCTTCTCAATCTCTCTCTTTTTATAGATAGAGTATCAAGAAAAAAGATTAAATTTTAGCACTGTACTTTTCTTCATGACATCCCCAGTAAATATAATATCTAAACGAAATCCCGTGTAAATGGAAATCATAGACATTAAAAAATAAACATTTTCCCCAAGGCCTACAGTCCTTTTAAATAAAGTTGAATCCTGATTGTAGAAAGGTTGATTGTTAACTGAGGCTTGTGAAGATGTTGCACTTTCCAATTAAATATTAAACTCCATTAAACGAATAAATATGTATTGATTAGTGAGGATAATTGAAGAGTCAAGGTATCAACAATAATTGGTAGTTTAAAAATAAACAAATTGATAGTCTGGGTCTGAATAAAGTTTACAAAAAAGCAACAACAAAATAACTATTTTGGTTCGCAGTGTTATAAAGTTTTTGGACAGAAATTTTCTCTTTATCGAGAAGGTTCAAGCCTTTTAAGATTTAATTTTGTCTTTAGCCCGTGCTATGATATACAGCTAATTTAACTTTATAGCACGATGATTACTTTATAGCACAATGATTATTTTATAGCACGTTCTTTATGAAATTCACGATAAAGTGAGTAATAATGATAAAGTACACTATAGTTTCATAAAAATAAAAACAAAAACACCAAGGGAGAGGTGTTGAGCTTTATTTGAAGCTAGCTTGGGAGTTAGGAACCAGCGCTGCACAGGGGGGTCATAGTTAGTCTCACCGATTACCCGCGCTTTGTCGTAAATTATGATTTTACCTATTTATCCCGATATAAGTCGATCCACTCAACTTAGAATCTAAGAAAATTCCCGTGGGTCTCCCAAGTTCCCCCAATCAAAATTTGAGGCAAATCGGTACAGGGTTCCTACGTTATGATCGGACAAACAAACAGACAAACGGAGATTACAACTTTATATATATAGATAGCTGATAATATTTTGTCAACATTTCAGAAGGGGGTAGTCCATTACCCCCCTGATTGAAATTACGTAATTTTTTTTAAAAACCATTTTTAAAAAAAAAGTTTAAAAAATGGATTATTAAGTTATTAACTCATTTATTTGCCTACCCTGTACTATAAAGAAACTGTAACTTTTGTAGGGTTAGGGTGGTAAATAAAACTTTTTAGCAAAAGAGGGATGGGGGGGGATATCTTTTTATAAGATTACATGGGGTGGGGTAAAAATATCCCCCCCCCCCATCTTATATCCTGAAACCGCCTGAGATTATTTATATGTCTTGAAAACAGTTAGATCAGGTTGATAAATGTCAACGGGCTGACAATAGGAAAAAATGGAAATGCATTTAATGGAATAATCAAAACCCTGAATAAATGGAATTTTAATTAAGTTGTGTAATGTTAGAGGACCGACATCGTTTATAAAATATAGAATATTATATTAAACTACCTCAAGTGCCCGGCGTTATCCTTGAAATAAAAGTAATGAAATTTAAAAAAATCGATTTTGAAAAAATATTTCGATTTTTATTTAGTGAGAATACAATTGAACAGCTAATTCCTTTGTATAGTTAAGAGTCTGGTAGCTGAAAATTACCCCTCAGTTACCGTAGTGAGAATAAAATAGAAAAGCTTATTCCTTTGTATTGATATAATCTGGTGGCTGAAAATTAGTCCTCAATTAACTTAGTAAGATTACAATTGAAAGGCGGATTCCTTTGTATTGATAGAATCTGGTAGCTGAAATTTACTCGTCAATTAACGTAGTAAGATTACAATTGAAAGGCGGATTCCTTTGTATTGTTAGAATCTGGTAGCTGAAATTTACTCGTCAATTACCGTAGTGAGAATAATATAGAAAAGCGGATTCCTCTGTATCGTTAGAATCTGGTAGCTGAAATTTACTCCTTAATTAACGTAGTGAGAATAAAATAGAAAAACAGATTCCTTTATATCATTTGAATCTGGTAGCTAAAGAATACTGTGGGTAGTTCTTTGAGATTAAAATTGAAAACAGATTTTTTACGAGACGCTAATTTCTGATTTTTGAGAAAAGCTCTTTTTTACTAATTTATTTCTCTAAATTTATACGTTTTAAGTTTTTACCAATACTTTTTATTTTCTATCTTTATTTATATATTAACTATTCATTTGCATAATAGCGACAAAATGGTAATGTTAAGATTATACATAGAATGAACAAACTGGCTTAAACTGAAAATCTTAATGAAATTTTGACAATGGAATAACTATTTCTGAATTAATGTAAATACTTTTGGACATTTTTTCCACTAAAATACACAAAATTACAGACTAAAATTTTAAATATGACAATGTTATTTTTTACACAGGCTAATATGTACACTGTACAGGGTGTCACATTATTACATTTTAATTTTATATCAAAAATAAATTGAAAGAATTATGAAGGAAGATCTACTATTGTACTAGGTCTGGAAGTTGTGAAATTTAATGTTTGCTCCACCCTGCTAACTAGATAAATTTAATACTTTCTTAAGCTTATTATTTAAATTACATAGTTAATTCAACTATTTACTAAGTTTGCGGTGTGCAATATACTGCACTAAGTTAGTATACATGATAATAAAGCATTGGATATGTACAATAGTTGTACTGGTAACTTCTATCTACATGAGTATAGCTTTTTTATGTACATAAAATTTACGTTGTACTTCAGCAACAATGGTAACTTCATTTCAGTAAATCATAATTAAATATAATTAAGTTTAGGTAACAAAAATTATAATATTTGTTACCAAAACTTTTTTTTAAAGAGAGTGTTATCGAAAAAGTTATAAATGACGAACTTATGACAAATTTTTCATAAAATAAATGTTTCAAATTGGATCCAGCGTTTAATAACAACTGGGTAAAAGTTAAAAAGACCGAATAACTAATGGTTTTTGTTCAACCAAGACAATCCCTTAATGAAATGCTATATGTACAATGTGCACTCGCCGGAAGATGTTAATAAGTTGCATAGCACTTGAGGAAGAAATTAAGAACTAGGTAACTAGTGGAAAGTTACGTCCATTTTGCGACATAACAGTAATTTCTTGAGTTTTAATTACATAAATTTCAGTTAACTGGCATCACTAATAAATGAAAATAACCTTTGGATGAATTATATCATTTTCTTAAGGTGTTTAAAGCTAATGACAATAAAACTTTAAAGAGGTTTGGAAGGAAATAACAGAATAACATTTACAGTGTAACCAATAACACGGAAGTTTTCTCTCATTTTGAAATAAATTTACAATACGATGAACCTTGCATTCAGAACTAGACTTAAAACTAACGTACTTATGAGAATTGAATAGTTTGTTGTTTAGATTTATAATAGTGAAATAATCAGGACCTCAGTCCAAACAAACAGCTGACAGCTGACAGATGAGTAACATGTTGTACATAAAATAAATAGAAGCACTGTTGTGTATCGAATCACCATTAAATAATTAACATTTAAAGGGACTACAAGCGTAATTTCAAGTGACCCTCCATTCCAAGATTCCGGACTCACAACATGAAACAATTAATAATTTCAACTATGGATAATTTTGCTACATTTAGACAGCAGGAAAGCTATGTGAATTATCGGAATGAATCACTTTCAACCCTAGAAAATCGACAATATATTTCACATGAATGATCCGATAAAGGTTTCTAGGATACTTTTTGTGAATTGGGCTTTGTAATCTTTGCACGAGGGGTCACTTAATACAATGCTAACAGTCATTATAACTTTTTTCTCCCAACACAAAATTGTGTACTCCCATAGTAAGGTACTGATTAATAGCTGCCTGGATTCATATTAAAACCTGTAGTCCAGGGATACCCTCCTCTAACCAAGGCGTTAGCGTTCCCGGAGTTAGTAAGAGAGCCGGGTATAGGGAACCCAGGAACGGATATTGTACTGGGTACAGGAACCCCTCCATAGGAGATACTTCCCGTATTGGTGATGGAGTAGGTTGGGTATGCTCCGGGTACAGATATATTAGTACCAGGTATCGAACTCCGGAACGGAGAAGGTAGAAGACCGGAGAGTGTGGCCTGATCATATTCCTGACCGTTAATGTGCAGATATGGATGTTTAGTCATCTTCTCTTCATAGTATGTGTTCCTGCTCCTATCCTGGTGATTAGACAGGTCACAGGGATATCCTTCGGGTTCATGGTTTGTGGCCTTGTGTTGCATTAAATCCTCCTCCGTCCCACACACATAGTTACACTCAGCACACTGAAATTTCTCATGTTCTCGCACTATATGAAGTTTAAGATATTCCTCAGTTGGTAGCTTGATGTCGCACTTGTGACATGCAAACTCCGGGGTACGGTGTAGAGTCTCAATATGTGCTCGGAGCTCCACCTCGGTAAGGCACTTGAACGCACACTGATCGCAGCCGAATGTGACGACGATCTCGTGGATCTTGCTGATATGCTCCTTTAGTTCCTCGGGGTTCAAACACTGGAACTCACAAGCATCACAATCATACCGAGATCCTATAAAACAGGTTGTGTATTTTTCCAAAGTCATTTTGTCCCCTTCTTAATTTCTCAAGTGCCATTTCCCAAATTAAAATTACTTCTAAAACTTCTTTTTCGGAAACAACCATAGAGTTGAATTATTTTGAAAGCTGACAAAATAATGGGGAAAATTTGGTTTATGGATCATAAATAGCCCTTTTTGTAAAAAGATTTGCCCCCCGGGGAATGATATTTGAAGATCAGGAAAAAAAGATTAAGAATTGAACATTAAAAGTCAAGTTTATTTCATCCTTACTTCTGGAAAAAGAAAATATTCTCTCCTTCAAATGATCTGAATAATTATTAGTGTGTTACCTTTATGAACACTGTCTATATGAGTCTGCAATGATTCTACCACGGTTGTTGAAAATCCACATTCTTCACATTGAAACTTAGGACCTGACCGATGCACTGCCTTGTGGTCCTTTAAACCCTTCGGACTCGGGAATACTTTCTCACATTCGTCACAGGGGAATGAGGCGCCGTCATGGGCCGTCATCTTGTGTTCTTTTAGTTTAGCAAGCTTGGAAGCCTGAAAGTCACACATGTTACATGGGTAGCGTATTCCCACGTGGGCGGTTAGTTTGTGCTGACTGAGTTTAATGGCACTATGTGCCCGGAACTGACACTGGTCGCACAGAAACTTCTTCTCCTCGTGTTTACCCTTCTTGTGTCGTTTTAAAGCATCAGGTCGTGCGGCTACATAGTCACATACATCACAGGGATATGTGATTCCCTGGAAAAAAGGATTGTAGGTTATGTAAAAGTTAAAAGTATTTGTAATAATATGACTATTTAAGATTAAGACTAGATTCATGAAAAGAAATTCTGAAAAGTATCTGTCCCTGCTCAGTGCTCAGACTTAGTAACGTATATAATATGTATAATATACAGAGCGCCCCACATCATTTTAAATTATAACTTCAAGCGTTTCTCGCTTAATAATATAAAATTATAATTTAGAGCTATCAGGTATTCAATATTCATGCTCCAACATGATGTGAAACTTCCTAAATATGCAGTACAGTACCTGGTGTACTGTCAGTTTATGTTGTCGCAGGTCGACCACATTCCTTCCTTCAAACCCACACTCGTCACAAACATACTTAGAGACCTGAGACCGAATAAAACAAAATAAATTTATCAAATAACCATGTAAAAAAAACAAAAAACATGTTATCAAAATTTTCTCAATTAGATGTTGATGATAAAAATGACAAAAATTGGACTAAGAAAAGCACAAATTGAACTTAAGATTAATAAGTATACAAACAATAATCATTCTCATATGTAAAATCGTTTTTGATCGTTAAAAACATCAGGATTTGAAAAACGAAACAGATTTCATAATTCATAAATCGTATTTTTATATCCCTAATACCCTAAATAAAAATGCACCTGTGGTGAATCTGTATTAAGTACTTGTGTTTCTTCTCGGAACTTTAAAAGTTCTAAACTCCGTCTGAAAAAATTCAAAAGTTTTTAACTCCGTCTGATAAATTCAAAAGTTTTTACTCCGTCAAAAAAAATCATAAGTTATAAATTCCGTCTGTCATAAATAAAAAGTTGTTTAACTCCGTCTAAAATAATTCATAAGTTCTGAACTCTGTCTAAAAGAATTCAAAAGGTTTGAATTAAGTCTGAAAAAATTCAAAAGTTCTCAACTCCGTCTCAAATATTTCAAAGTTATGAACTCTGACTTTATTAGTTCAAGATTTCTAAACTCCGTGTTACATGAATTTAAAAGGTCGAAACTTGGTTTCAAATAATTCAAAAGTTCTACACTCACACTAAAATAATCTTAAAATATAATTTTTTACTTGGGCGGTGAAAAAAACGCACAAAAAAACTTATGATCTGAGAAAACCGATAAATTAAGTAATAGAAGTTATCACTCACTTGGCAACATCTTTACAATTCTGGCAGTCACTTTTTCGACCTTGTTCTAACAAATTCTTTAGTTCTTCCTTGTTTCCAATCTTGGAGAATATCTAAATAAAAAATGTTTTAACAGAAATATTCAACATGTTAAGAACAATAAAAGTATATAATTTAAATTCTTTTAAGATCTGGTAGACCCGAAACGTGGGATTCTCAAACCCTCCACCGTACATGTTTATTTTTATCAGATAATTAACACATTGGAGGAAACATATGGAACTCTTATTTTTTATACAGAAGTCAAGACGACTACTGGAGGTTATGGAAGCAATGTGAACAAACTTATTACAGGTTTATTATACATACACTGAAACACACTAACATTGTAAAACAGAGCTTATGATCTTTTTAATTTTGACCCGTATCCTGGCTCAGACCTGCAAAAAACAGATCCGGATTCTGGATCCAGGTTCTAAATATTTTTTTTCTAACTAACTTTTTGAACATATAAAAAATAATACAAAATCTTTTTTCCCGCTTATTTTTTTGCTGAACCTTTATGAAATTAAGTACATAACTTATTAGTTAACAGTTGAGATACATGTTAGGAAAGCAAAAATTTTTTTAGCATATTTTGGTTGATATTTTGCCACTTGGATCCGGACCCTAAACACGTTTTAAACAATGTACTGTGGGTTCCTGTAGTATCTTCCTTGATTCAAACGTGAAATTAAATAAAAAATTTAAGCTACAAATTCACGAAATCTGCGTTCTGGAAAAAACAAGAGACAAATATCTTGTTTTTTTGTTTTTAGAATTGCGAATACAGAATCGACTACGGACATTGCAGCTTTTAGTCGAAATCTTAACGATACAAATATGGATTTACGAACAAATAGGAATTTAAGTTTGTTTACCTCCATTTCTGTTTTGGCACAGTCATCACAAGCATATTTCAGATCTACATAAGGATGCACAGTTTGTTTGTGTCTTTTCAAACTACTGGGGTGAGTTGTGCTAAATTCACAATGATCACAGGAGTGGGTGACCCCCTCGTGAATGGCCATTATGTGTTGCTTTAATTCCGCTGGATTTCTGGCCTCGTGGCTGCAGATCTCACATTGGTTTTTGTTCACCACTCCCTGCACTCAATCAATTAATCAATTTCAAACTTTAGATAGGAAAACAGAATTCTCTTTTAATTCATTAGGAACCTATTTGTTTGTTTAGTAAATAAAGTCTGAAACTGAAAATAAAATATGCAAAGAAATAATCTATTGTTTTACAAAATTAGCACTAAAGTTAGACAAAATGTCATCGAAAAAATCGCGAAATTCACAAACGTTAAAAAAATGATTCAATAAAATTGTTGAAATATTTAATCGGTGGTTACTTCTAAACCCTGAGAACTTATGCAATAATTGGGATGGATTAGGAATTATTCATCGCTCCAAAATCTCCAATTTGGTTATGCATAAGGATCTAGAATTTGATTTAAAGCTGGTTGTGAGTATTTGAACTATTTTAATAATAAAAGTATAGAAATTGATTATTTCCTTTTCTTTCTTTATCTCCCATTCTTCAAAATCATCTTCATAAATGTCTTCGTCGCCCTAAATAATAAGTAACTTAGTTTTTTTACATACCAAAATTGGCAATATGAATTTAATCGAGATTAAGACCGCATTTTTCATCCAATGTTGACAAAACATATAAAATTCACAAAACGTCATGTTAGCAAAGTCTTGCTTATCAATCATAGTTTAAAGTGACTATACAAGGAGGGGAACGGGAATTAATTAGGAAAAAATGATTATCTCAGCTAGATTTTACATGACAGGTTTATGGATTTTAATCGTCTTTAAACTTAAAAAATCTGGGGTTTCAAGTAACAACTTCGCAAAAAGAAAAAAAATCGTTCTTCTCAAGGAAGACGACATACCTTACACACCTTCTGTTTCTTCAGAATATCAATCGCCCCCTTGGCAACTATAGCGCAGTCTTCACACTCAAACTTTACATCTTCTCTCATAATCTGGCGCAGCTGCTTGGCGGTGGTGATCTGAACTGCGTGAGTATCACAGGTGAATTTGAGCCCACTGTGCATAGTTTCTTTGTGATGTTTTAACCGGGAATTGTTGATGGCGGAATACTCACACTTGTCACAGGGAAACCTGCAGGATTAATATTATCAACAAATACATAATTAATACAATATCTTCAAGTACCATTCATTAATCGATTAATTTAACCAGTGACTAGATTTTATGAACTGGAGAGGTAGTTAAACTACCTGTAGACGATTCAAATTCTGAATTACAGATTCAAATCCTTATGAATTTTTAACTTTAAATCGTTGATTCAATACTTGAACCGGCGGTAGGAAGTTCAGTGACCTAGCTCAAATTCATTAAACTCGGTCCCGGCGGGAACTAACTATATGAAAAGTAATTGCACAACGTAGATATATTAAACCACTTCTCTTCCTCCTAACCCGGCACACAACAGGTGTAACAAGCAGTATATCAACTCGATATGGCTAGTTCAACTACTTCTCCAGTTCACTATCGTCCACACTATAGAACTACTTCTCGCTCTTTCATAAATCCGAAAGCTGAATATTCACATAGACGAAAATAGCAATGGCAAAAATAACTCGAAAAATCAAAAAAAAATATTGATTATTTGGCAGGAAAGGTATATTTTTTTATTCATTCTAAATAACAGTCTATGGTACCTGATCTTGTCGTGTACACTCCTCACGTGTTGCTTGAGATGACTGTTAACCTTGGCCACATATTCACATGAAGGACAGGGAAACAGTATCTTCTTGTGCAATGACCGCTTGTGAACCTGGTAACAGATTGTTAATGAGGTGCGAGGGATCAAGGTTATTGTTCGACATCAACATCTAATTTTGCTAGATGATTTTCTTATGACGATGCAACAAAATGGATCAATTAAAAAATCCCTCACGACTTAACTCAAAGCCAAATCAATATTATCAACTCAAAGAATCAAAAAAGTATCAAAATCTGACATGAATTTAAGATTAAAAACAAACAATTTGATTTAGATTTGTTTTAAAAAGTTAAGAGAGGGGATGATAGAATATACAAATTCTAACCTGCGCACTTTTAGACCGATTATTCTTGCGCTTGTGAGGGCAGGGTAACTGTTAATTAGTATATTCTTACCGACCCCCTCCAAGTTAAATAAAATGAAAATATTTCATCATAACCATTTTCCAAATGACAACTTTCCAAGTGACACATTTTCGAATGACAATTTCCTGTATGTTCGGTGGCTCTAACTCGATTCGATAGGGGATTTTTTTCGGCTCAAGGCTAAGGTGCTGCGGCTTTCATCCGCTAGAGGGTTGAGCGCTCGACTTTGATCCGATGAGGGACCTAACCCTGCAGCTTTATTTCACTAAAGCACTTTAATGATCTAGGAACTAAGAAATCCAGAAAACGGTTTGTCAGCTTCTACATTTGTGTCTGAGAAATTGTCACTTTGGGGAGTAGTCACTTAGGAAAATGCCTTAGGGAACATACTTTCTCAAATGAGATTTACAACGGTTATGGGAGGGGGTGAGAATATACAATCCTGACCTTTAAACTTTCTTTAGTTGTAGATTCATGCTCACACTCGTTGCATTTATACTTTATGCCCTCGTGAACGCTTTCTTTGTGCTTCTTCAGGTGACTTGCAGTGGTTGCCTTATACTCACAATGAGGACAGGGGAACCTTGGTAAATCCAGAATATAATATCCTGACACGTGAATTGAGAAAACTAAGTTTTTAAAAAGATTAAGTTTTCTTACTTACAGTCGTCTTTTAAGGAAGAGTAAACAATAAAGTTTTTTACAAAATTTTCATTGAGAATCTGATGTTGGATTAAAAAAGCTTGTAATTCAGATCATTTAATTAAGGTGAAATTTTTTAATTAAATTTCAGATTTCTATGTTAAGTTTCAAAATACCTAGGGTCAACCCTTTAAAATTCAACCCTAAGCCCATTCCATTTTGATGCTTATCCACCCCATTGATATTTTTACGAATTTTTAAGGAAATTTCTGATTATTTCTTGTTAAAAATTCAAGATGTCTTACCAAGCTCACAGAGCAAATATGTTGCGTAAACTTAGCACTTCCCCATCTCCCCTACCCCACTTTTCGGTCATGTGTAATATGGATTATATACTCCTGCCTGAGTCCCATGTGCACGGTATTGTGGTGGTATTTGAGGTTTGCCGCGGTGTTGCTCACGTGATCACACTCCGAGCAGGGGTACTTTAATCCACTGTGGATTGCGTTATAATGACGTCGTAGAGAACCCATAGCTGTCGCCTAGAACATGCAGACTTAGTAAAATACAGTTCGTGGAAACTTTAACCTTTAAATTGCCATGTTATTTGGCAGAACTTGATGATCATTAATTTATGAGTTATGACAACTAAAAATTTACAAATTTTCATAATTTTGGGCAGAGTAAAAAAGTAGAAGAAAAAATATGTGATTGGTTGGGTCATAAGACTGACAAATATTTACTTTTTAAGTAATTCTAGTTCAGTTGTTTATAACAAAGGAGTCAGTAAAACCTGGATTGAAATTCATATATGCAGTTAATGGTAATTTGATCTATAAACTTAAAACTTACCTTGTACTCACACTGATCACAGGGATATTTCACCCCTTCATGAACACTTTGCCGATGCGCCCTGTTGTATCGAACAATTATTTTAAAAGATTCTTCATAATTGTGCAGACTGTAACGAAAACTTATAATCTAAAGATGATTTGGAATAGTTTAAGGATCATGCTACATAGCAATTGCTAAAGATTGGGATCTTCGTTCTTAAAGAAAATAGGTCACCAAGAAGTTTTAACTGAGTTAATTTTCAAAATGTAGCACTTATGTTGAAAAGTCATATTTGTATTTGATTGGCTTTCACTGAATAACAAAAACTAAAAACCCAGCACCAAAATACAACTTTAGCAGTCAGACATTGCTTCTTTAAAAATTGGACTAAAAATACCTCAAGTGAGACCTCATCTTTGCTCTGTATGGGCAAAGATCACAGGGAAACCCTTCTGGATGTTTGTAAATTCTTTTCTTTCCATTCTGAAAACAAATAATGTACCTTGAACATATATATTCTTTATCAAAATTTGTCAAAAATATTTATAATTTTTGGACGATTTATTTAAGTTGGACACTTTTTTTTTGGAATTACAAACCAAGTAAATACAGACTGTCCATGAAATGGAGCTGAATGGTCATAAAATGATCAATTGAAAAAGGGTCAAGAAACTCAGCGTTTCGTTTAAATTTAATACGTCGCTTTTTAACCAAAGTGATTGAACAAATGTCCAAAACAAATTTCTTCCAAAAATTAGCGAAAAAGACCTTAAAGCAATACGGGTTAAAGTTTTATATTTCGTAAATTTTCCATTTTAAGTCTAAAATGAACTGTGTAAACCCACTTACCAGATCTACCTGTTCCGGTTCTATACTGTACACCCCTTCCATCCTCATCTCCCGGGGCTCCAGGGGTTTACGCATCTGGATTTGGGTCATATGTGTCATGTTACTGAAATAAATAAAATATTATGGTTATACTTTATTTTATATTATTATTATCTATATAATAAAGCTCTTGTTCATATATTTTTATCATTATTAAAAATCAACCACAGACAATGTACCATACCATGTACCTATGGGTAACAATACAATTAAATATATTTATATGTTAGCCAATCTGTTTAACCAATTTGGCAGACATTTTTTGAGGAAACCCTTGGGTACCCTGATATTGAAACAAAAAGATATAATTTTTTTTATTTCATTATTTATCAAAACATTGAGGATTTTGAGCAAAAAATTCAGTAAAAAAAATCTCAATTAGGATTGCATATTAATTATACAATACTTACTACCCCTAAACAAATCTTTTTCCTCGTTCGTCAGAAAATTGAATCTTAACTTTTAAGAACACTTTTAACACAATTTTTTTTTTGAGGTGGGGGGATGTTTTTTGGCTGTGAGGGGTGAAAAGTTTTACATTTTTAGCTTCTAAAATTACTAAACTTACATCATGTTGCTGTGAGAGGTGAAAAGTTTTACATTTTTAGCTTCTAAAATGACTAAACTTACATCATGTTGCTGTTACTATTGGATTGTTGTGCAGCATAGTTCTGAGCATCAAACTCCTCTGTCTCGGTGAGGATTGTCTCCACGAGACAGGAGTTGTAATTGTTCTCCTCTCTCGTCTCCTTCTCCACACCCAGCTCCATCCCGTCTACTTAGAACATATTGTAAACAACAACAGAGGTCAAAACAGTGACCACATTTTTTCCTTCCTAATCAAAACTCAATTACTTTAATTCAGTGCTAAGGACCCATTTAATATTAGGATCCGCACTGGAAAAAAATGGATCCGAATCCAGGTCATGAACATTACTGATTTTTAAACAGAAGAAGAATTTTTCAAATTAATTTTCTTTTTATCGTGATTTTTATGCTTAAACTTGAACAACTATTCAATAGTTTAGATTTGAACTTTTGGAGCAAATGACGTTTGTTTGCAGTTTCTGGTTAATAGTTTGTCTCTTAGATTTGGATTTGCATATTTTTGCGGATCCGGATCAAGGAACCAAACAAATTGTGGATCCAACAAATTTGGATTCTAAACACTGCTTTAATTTATCCTAAACGAACTTTGTGTTCAGACCCGGCACTTTCGAGTTCTGACAAGATAATTTGCATCAATGTTCACAAACGTATTAATTATTAATTAATCGTCTACGATACAGTCAATCATCTGGGGGCTTATCCTTCCCCCTGAATCAGTAACATCTCAGGGGGGGGGACTTTATAAAGGTAAAGGGTAAAACCGGAGATCACTTAAGATCCCGGGTCCGTCCTAGAGAACGATTTTTGGACCCCCCCCCCCCCCCTCCAATCAATTTTGTACATCTATTTTATATTATTGAGGGTAAGGTTAAGATCAGACAATTTCTGGGCCGAGCACTGCGGCTAGGATAGGCTAGGGGGCCGAGCGCTGCGGCTAGGACAGGCTAGGGGCCTGGCGCTGCGGCCTCATGATCAATTATACAAACAAAATTGATGGGAGGGTGGGGGTCCAAAAATCGTTCTCTAAGAAATTAGCGTCCCGCCCCATTACATAAAGATTTTATACTTAAAACTCCTATCATAATCAATAAAAGGCATAGACAAACTGGAGCACCAGTACCAGATGCACTATTTAATTCTTTAACAATACTGATAATTCACAATATATTTAGATCTTATGAAAAAGGCAACACATTACCCTCTCCCACCTCCATGTCCGGTCATCTCAGGGGTTTAAAATCAAGTTGACTTAATGCCTTAATGAAATTCCGGAGGGTAGGGGGGAGTTTTGAGTCATATTTCAGATCCAAATATAACGGATGAATCCCTGTATAAGTGTTTAAGTGATAAACAAAACCTTATAAATGTATCTTTTCCCTGTGTGGGTGCAGTGGTGGTGGTATAAGGGGGTTAACGGAGGTTTTACACTCACTAGAGAACGTGTTCAGAAATTTCACAAAATTTATCACAATATTATTTAATTGAATAAGATAAAAGTACCTGTGTTCATGCCACTTGTCAACAACACACTTCCTAGCATGGACATTTAAAATCTTTACATATTATTTTCTGTAAATCACTAAATTTTGTTTGACTAGAGACATGATTCATGAATGCTTCAACGTGGTGTTGATTTATCACAGAAATTAAATACCCAACCCAAGATTTTTGATGGCTACAACCCCAAAAGTTTCTAAACAAACACCTATTTTGAACCTGCGCACGGAATAACTGAATGCACCGTAAGCTTACCTAAATTGGAAAGCAGGATTTAATCTCTACGCATGCGCATTTCGTTTTCTCAAAATGAAGGTTTTTACATAAAAGGCTAAATATATAACTTTTTAAATTAGAAAATAATTTGATATGAACTGATTGGAAAAAATTCAATTGACATTATTAGTAAAAAATTTCTTTTAGTTTGAAAAAGTTTCCTCTTTTAGAGATGTTCGCTATCTCGCTGGGATATGGGGGGGAGGGGTTGTGACGTATGTGTTTGTGTGTTAGGTTTATGGGTAGGACTAGGAAAGAGTTGGTGTGGGGGTATTGGATTGGACGAATTATATGGCAACAGACGAACATTCGTTCGTATTAATCGCTTAAACTTTTTAACGCGATAATTTCGGATTTTTTTCTCGAAAATGATCAGGAACTTATGCGAAAAATGCGGAATAATACAGCAGCATCACTTAAAATTGCGCCAGAAAAATTCGCGGAATTTATAAAAATCAACCCAGCAACAAAACTTACTCCACATTCCATCTTGTCCTCCTCAAGGACCTCAATTGCGGCCCAACAAACAAAACACAGGTTTTCAACGAGCAGGGGAAGGCAGGCGGCCATGAGCCACCACTATTTCTCCTTCCGTGCCACATATTAGCTTTTTTCTCTTCCGGCAGCCATGAGCCACTACTATTTCCCCTTCCGTACCACCACATTTGGCTCTTTCGGGCAAAACTACTTTTTTAAATGGTATATTTACGGCCTTTAAAGTGTGATTTTAAAAAATCCAACTGCATCACACAAAAAAGCACAACTCAAACCATTTTTTCAATTCTACCTAAGATTAATATTTTGTGTGTTGAATTCTTAAACTGTTTTACAATGAAATTTTGACAAATTTGACTGAGTATTGCATCTTGAAATATCACAAAGTCTAATGATTATTCAATTACTGACTCATTATACTAAATCCATCTTAAAATCACTCATTAACCAACTTTGTGATATTTCAAGATGCAATACTCAGTTAAATTTGTCTGATCTGGAGCTGACCGGTACTAGTTTTCCAGGGCTTTCTTCACAGAACAGTTGGAACAAGACACAGTTTTCTCAGGTTTTATTTGAACGCCATGGAGTATAAAGGTTGAAATCGGAACATAGACCAGTTACGTTTAACTAATCAAACTATCAACATTCCTACCTTTCAGTATTCTTTTATTTCTATTATTTACATACTAGCTTGGGAACCCAGTGTTGCACAGTTAGTCCCAGCTAGATTACCCGCGCTTTGTCGTAAATTACGATTTTAACTATTTTTCCAGATAAAAGTCTATCCACTCAACTTAGAATCTCAAAACCATACTAAGAACATTCCCGTGGCTCTCCCAAGTTCCCCCATCTGAATTTTAGGAAAATTGGCCCATGAGTTCCTGAGTTATGATTGGACAAACAAACAGACAGACAAAAAGAGATTGCAACTTTTTATATATCTATATATTAAAAAAAAAAACAAGAATAGATCTGCACATTTAAGATTTAACTAAATGAACTTTATCTGAAACAGTAGAGGAACTGAGTTATTGCAACAAACTCTGATTTTCTAATCCCTTTATCTTTGCAACCCCATATTGTAAGACTCAGGTGTTTCAAACTATGAATTCTAACCAGATAATCAGATAACCTAAGGATTACACTATCAGGTTGTAAATATATAGGAATTAGAAAATTTTAGTTTGTGCCTGGTAAAAACTCAATTACTTTATCATATAACAGGGTCTCATAAAATTAATTTGAGTTTGTGTCTGGTAAAAACTCAATTACTTTATCATATAACAGGGTCTCATAAAATTAATTTGAGTTTGTGTCTGGTAAAAACTCAATTACTTTATCATATAACAGGGTCTCATAAAATTAATTTGAGTTTGTGTCTGGTAAAAACTCAATTACTTTATCATATAACAGGGTCTCATAAAAATAATTTTGACAGCTTCTAGAGCTGCATCTCTCTCTCTCTTTTTATTGGAATTCTATTTTTAATAATGACTATAATTACAATTGAGTAAATAGTAATTATAAACTCTGTTTATCTGTCAATTAATTTATATTATTTAAACTATAACTTTTTCTTTTCATAGAGATAAAACCAATCTTTATTTCTATTTTAATTTCTAAAATTGTCTTTATCTAATACTTGAAAGGTAAATAAAACAATTCAAAAATATGTTTAAACTTTATTATTATTCACACTAATCATAAAGTTGATTTCCATCTAGCTAAGACTGAATTCGTTTGATAAGTAATGAGAAAGTCCATACCACCAGTAGATGATTGAGAAAACAATTATAAAAATTGGAATTATCAATATTGCTGTTATTTCTCCAACATTCACCCATACTTCTCTACTAATTGCTGAAAGAGATAATCAGATTTATTTATTATTAATATACATTTAGTTACAATATTTACCATTTTTATAAAACAATTGCCTTGCTTTAACAAGAATTTCTTCATTTCTGTTTGTTAGATTCTCGGAGTTGACAATTTCTCGAACAAAGATTTTCCTTTCAAAAAAAAATTAAAGCAAATTTTTATATATACCTTTAAAGTTACTCTAGACTTCATATGAAGTGAACCCTCAATTTTCAAATAGGCATGTCCAATTGATAAGCTTTCTCATACACTGTAAAACTTTTTATTGTATATTTTATTCAATATTTTCCAGTCGCGCGATTCGCTCAATAATATTGAATAAATTTTATCTAAATTTTGAATAATTTTGTTTATCAAATCGAATCTAATTGGAAAGGAATATCCCGATTTGTTGAATATTTTGTTCAAAAATTCGGAATCAAATATGATATATCAATGAGAGATCTATATATAGCCTTTAACCACAAAGATTAATTGTTTTAAACCGTCGTTTCTCTGTAAAAAAAAAGGCATTTTCAGAAAAACAACAGATAAGATAAACACAATTCAACATATTTTAAGATAGAAAAATTACAATATCTTTTTTGAAGGTGGCAATAACTTTTTTGAAGGTGGCAATACCTTTTTTGAAGGGTATAGCGAAAAGAGTTTCCATTGTGTAACAACAATTCTATTCTGTATTAAATGGAGAGTCTTATGGATTATGCAACTATATCTACAGTCCCTTTTGTAATTTAATTTTTTTTAGATATCAGAATTTTCCCTACCTATTTAATCTAGGAGCATTGTTGTTCATGTTGTCCGTTTCAATCTTTTTCTCTTCGTCTTTCGAGTTAACAGTTATTTTAACCCCATGATGATTAATTTCACGACTCTCAGAATCTATAGTCCAAAAAGATAAATAGTTCAGAGTTTGATGAATCTGGCATATTACAAACATTTTGTAAAATAAATAACAGAATTATACAGTGGCACCCATGCAATTGTGTAATTGGAAGTCGACAAACTTGTTTCATTTCATAACCGTAGCAACACCGACATCGCGCGACCAGTCCCATTAGGTCGAGATAGGTCAGATTAGGTTGGGATTACATCGAATTACCAAAATGGTCTTAACCTGACCAGTCCACTTAGGTAGTATTTGGTCGAGATTGGTCGGGTTTCATTGGATTACCTAACAGGTCGAAACATGACAAGTTCCCAAGTTCCCTAAGGTCGGATTTGATCAGGTTAGGTCGGTTTACTTTACTGGTCTCATACTGGTCTTAACCTGACCAGTCCACTTAGCTTGGATTTGGTCAGGATTGGTAAGGTTACGTTGGATTACCTAACAGGTCGAAACATAACTAGTCCCATGAGTGGGGAGTGGGGTAGGGTTAGCAACGACAGGAGGACGTCATGGTGAAAATATAATACGTCAAAAGATAGGTCATGAGGACGTAAAAAATTGTGCATTTAACGTCCCTGCAATGTTCTCAACAACTAAAAGATGACGTCCAATGGACGTCACATTGGCAATTGATGACGTCCTCAGGACGTCCCCTGGTTGAAAGAGAAGTCAATGTTAAATGGGAGTATTCGCGAACAATGAAAGGGGACAGGCTTACGTCGAAAAATATTTGATGGTGATTGCACTACTAATCTTATTTGTATCTGTTGCGTCTATAATGAGAAAATTGTTAAAAACGACTCAGACAGAAGAAAGTAGCGTCCATACAAATACAGAAAATTGCAATATTCGACTCGAATCGTAAAAAAATCAATTTTATTCCAAACAAATCATGCAGATATCACAAACTATAATCATCGATTATTTTTCGATGCATTCGTATATAGTTGATACTTCATAATATTCTTTATTTGTTTTATATAAAATGCAATTTGAACGACGATTAAATGGCCACCAGGTGGCTCTGCTCTCGATGTTTCTGCTTGTTTCCATGTTGCAGATATCTATCGGACAAAAATCGTCGTTTATGAACATTGTTCAAATTTACTCCCCCGCCTTATATCCTTAAATCCTTATATACGCCCCTACCTATACCACTTTTCATTTTTTGTGAACACTCCCTTTAAACTACATGGGTTTAACTATTTGCTTTATAACAACATCAAATATACATAAGATTGCTCAAATATCGTCTTCCTTCCCTAGTTTTATGGGTTTCACTGTAAATCATAATTTTACAATTATATTTTTGTAATTATTAACCTTCAGTTCTCATGTTGTCAATGAATGTATGAAGAAGAACCTCAAAGAACGGAATACTTTGAGCAAATATCAACCAAACATCAACCAGTTTCACATATGCTGTTGGGGGCAAGGATCCTAAAAATAAACAATTATAGAACTCTAGACGGAAGTTCATGTAATCTTCCAACAAAAAGCACGAGTCCGGTTCAGAACGGTTCCCTTTAATTTGTTGCCTGTGCAAAAGTGGCGAATATCTTTTCAATATTGTTATTTGAAAAAGTGACTGGCGAATAATGCGACAGAGAGAAGGAATGAAGTTGAACAAAGTCAACTTGTTTTCAGATAGTTACCAGTGCGAATCGGTTACACGGCTATTTAGGCGGTAAATTAGAATATAAAAACCTTAAAACTGTAATTTTATCTAACCTGAAACACTTATAAAGAGAGTAGTTAGTACTAGAAGAGCTGTAAGATTAACTGTAACAACTGCTTCAAAGAAGAAGTGTTTAAAGAAGTTTGTGCTGTAGACAATGATCAAGATCAGCACTGTTGGTAAATATGTTGTCATCATTTCATTTATAATTCTTCTTTTTAATACCAACACAACCTTCACTCCTTAATTAATGGGTTTTCTGAAATATCTTTTGTCTTTAAAATTTGATGAATTACAAAATGCATCAAAACCCCCCTCATATATGTGTTTTTGAAGTTTACTGTTTGAACGACAATATCAAATACATTCAAAATGGTATTCTTGTATACCTTTATCATAATCATTCTGATTTGTGTAGTTCAACATCCAGTGGGTGATAATGTACTAAATAAAAAATTATTAATTTTTTCAAAATAATTATTGAATAAATTTTTTAAATCTTAAATTATATTCCTGTGTTAGTGTAGTATCTCCTTCCATCCAGAGCATATCAGGTTTAATCCTCACAGATAATCTATCTGATTCTCTAGAGATTAAATATTAATCCTCACAGATAATCTATCTGTTTCTCTAGAGATTAAACATTAATCCTCACAGATAATCTATCTGATTCTCTAGAGATTAAATATTAAACCTAACAGATAATCTATCTGATTATCTAGAGATTAAACATTAATCCTCACAGATAATCTACCTGATTCTCTAAAGATTAAATATAAATCATTAGAGATAATCTATCTGATTCTCTAGAGATTAAATATTAAACCTTACAGATAATCTACCTGATTCTCTAGAGATTAAATATTTACCCTTACAGATAATGTATCTGATTCTCTAGAGATTAAATATTAATCCTTACAGATAATCTATCTGATTCTCTAGAGATTAAATATTAATCCTTACAGATAATCTATCTAATTCTCTAGAGATTAAACCAGGGGAATGTGCTAAACCTGGTTTAAAAATTTTAAGCTGAGAACGACCGATTTTTCAAAATATGTTTGCATAGTTCCCATAGAGCCCAGGAGGTTGATGAGTTATGATAGAACATACAAACAAACAAACAAACAAACAGAGAAACAGAGATTACTATACCTTTTATACATTACATATATAGTATAGTATATTATATCAAATATGGATTTCATAATTAGTTACCTTAATATAAGATTAGCTGTGCATACTTGGGTATCAAAAGGATACATTTGAAGCTGATAGACACACTAAGATTATAATTAGTTAACAAAAATAATAGTCATCTTTAATTGTTTACCTTGAAAGTTTTAGTGTATACTCTCTGAAATGTGATTCGGTTATCCTCTCCTTTAAACATATTTATTTCCTCCATCTGAGAATCTGGACTAACTGTAAAATTTCCTTCTCTTTAGAGAAATATTAAATATATAATTCTTTTATTATAAATGTAGAAATCTTTTATTATACATGTACAAATCTTTTATTATAAATGTAGAAATCTTTTATTATGAATGTAGAAATCTTTTATTATAAATGTAGAAATATTTCATTATAAATACAAAACAACGTTAAAAATTATTTACTTATGATCAGTTTAATATTCTATGAATTACAATATCAAGTCTTTTTTAAAAAGATTTTATATTTAAGTTAAACTATTTTTCACATTGATGACCAAAATTCATTAGTTTTCTACTAGCATTTCGCATATAAATTGCAGTCAGTGTCTAATATTTTAATTTTGATGCAATAATTACAAACTTTTTGTCTAAAAGAGTAATTTTCTCAATAAAAAGCTTAGAATTGAAAAGAGTTCACATGATGTTAATCTAAATCAACAAAACTTCAGAAAAATATAGAATATTAAAATCAACATGAAAACATATCAAGTGCAGACTAAATATTTTTCAAATCATTAATTCAATATTTTTTCCTTGTAATTGTCATCTCTGTATCTTCATCTACTTTAGTTGCCTGGTTTAATTCTGTATTCTCAAAGAGAACAAATGGAATCCAAATAGATTCGAATTCTGCTGAAGAAAGGGTGTTCAGAGAAGTATTTTCTTGAAAAAAAAACATTTTAAATATTTAAAATTAGCTTTCATCAAAGGAAATGAGTCTTTGCCAGAAATTCAGATTTTCCAATTAAATATTAATATTTACCTTTTAAGTTGAAAAAATTTATTCTGTAGTCATACCATTCCATTAGCATTACAAACTTCATTGTAAATACATGATTTATTTCTTCTATACTTAAAATATCCCTGGAGAAAACAAACAAAAATTTTAAATTTTAATTCTTCACATCAAATATCGAATAACCTTATTGCTACGGACACATTGACATCTGCTGGAATATTTTGTTTTGATTCTCGATCAAACTTAAAAGGAGGAATTTTCTTGTTGTAATTTAGCTTCATCATCAGCATTCTTAACAAATATTTGTAAAGAGAACAAAGTTTTTAATAATACCAATTATTTTTTACTACTAAATACTAAATGTTTTCAAGAAGAAGAAGAATAATTTTGAATCTTAATCAAAATGAATTCAATCCTTATTGGCTTAAAATTAAAAAAATGCATGGAATGAAGAACAACATCAACTTTTGTCAGTGTCATGCAAGTTGTGTTGATTTGATTCTTAAACTTGTTCACACTGAGCTTTATGGTGAATGTTTAAAATTATAAACCTGAATTATGACCCAATGTATAGACTACGCTAAGTTCTTTTTTAAACGATTCAACAAATTCAAATTCAAGCCCTCAACATTTGATTGAAAGTTTTACCAAAAGAATTTTAAGTTTTGTATCTTAAGGATTATTTGCATTTTAGATTGATAGAATGATTGTTATCTCTTTTCGTCTTTAAAATCAGAAAATTACAATTTTGCCATAAACAACCAGAAAATATTATTATGTACAGGAGCCAGAATATCGTCATTGATCTGATCCAAGTCCAAACCAAATATATATAGGCATGTAAAAAATGCCTCACTCCATTAGTTCTTTAAGTATGTATCAAACCAGATACAACTCTCGCAGTATTCTTAGGTATGTATCCATCCAGATACAACTCTCTCTGTATTCTTAAGTATGTATATATATCGAAGCTATAGAACTCTATACTCTCTAAGACATCTGTTTTCCCATAATGTTTTGGATGCAACGCCAGAACCAAAAAGTTTTCAAGGAAATTTTGATCACTTCCTCTTTAAGTTTTTCATCCCGGTTTAATATCTCTTTTAAGAATAAATTTCCTCTTGCTCTTTCTGTAATATAATTGGATTGTTGGACAGAATTTATCATTTCTGTTAATTTTTCATCTTCATCTTCTCCTACTTCAAGTTTACTTCCACTTCTCAGTTCTTCTCTGAGCCAGGCTTCTTTGTTAATATATAAGCTGTGGATTTTCCCTATTCCCTGACAACAAAAGTATTTAGCATTTACATAGAAGCATTCTAGATATAATATTACTCTAGTTTTCTTCACATATTTCCACTTCTTCATCTGCATGATTCTCAACGTTTATTGCTTGTTGTGTACGCATTTTTTGGAAGTACTAATTTTCGGCCTGATTCTTGTTCTTCTGGTGGCATGGATTCTACAAACCCCATCCCCTCTCCAATCTCCTTCTTTTCTTATTTTACTAATTTGATACTTCCTGCAGGAATAAACACTTGCTCCCCTGGCCACAGTTTTCTCTCTCTTACTTCCGGTATATGATTTATAGTATGGGGCTCTGTAAGGGGTTTCGCTGCTTTCCAGCAGGAAGGAATTACTTGCACTTACTTCTTTCCCCCCATATCCATCCTCTTTCCCTTATTGATAAACAGAACCGGGTTAATCTTTCCTGACTCACACTTCCAGTCACTAATTTTTCTTCTTGGTTTGAACAGGAAATGAAGACTTTCTGTAGCACTAGAAATTCCATGCCAAAATTCACTGCATGATTTAACCCTTCTATCACAATGGTCTCCACTTCAAAAACTTGATTTAACCCATCTAGATCAAACTTGATCTTTTCTCCTTTCCCTACTACTTGAGCCCTTTCCCTCCTTTCTCTGCTGCTGTATCTTTACGGGTTCTTTTAAAATATTTGTCCACCAATCATTTCCAAAAATTCACTGGACACTAGAATACTTTTCACTAAATTTCCTATGTCTTCTAAAGCTAGACCATAAACATCATGCTTGAATAACTTATACCTTACATAAGATGTGTTATGGTCGTCCTTTTTCATTTTATTCATATTGCTTAAACTCAATATTTAATTCTCTTTCCAATTCACCACTTTCTCTTCTAACTTGCCTTCTCAGGCTTGTAATGCGTTAACGTCACCAGACATCTCTCAGCTTTCATCTTCAGACTTGTCCACAATTAGCCTTGACATTGTATTTACTTCCATGGATATTTGTCCTGTCTTCAGCATCTCATCAGATCTCGTGCTGTTTCTCAGTGTCTCAAAACTATATGTGCTCCTAAACACGGCCATAAAATGGGAAGGAGCTCTGTACTTTCTTAGGTTGACCAACTGGTGATCAGGCACTGCCTTTATCACGTTTTCATGCTGCAGCTCCTTTGGCATATAAAACAGACATGTCTCCTTCAGCTCTACATTATACAGTCCCATGAGCATTTCATCTTTGAATTCTACCAGACTCCTCTTGTTCGCAAAGTACAATATTTCTCGGGATCTTCATCTCTTTCCTGTTTCCAGCCTTCCTTGTATTTCTCTTGCGAGAATTCCTTCAACAGCTCCTTGAAAAACACTCCTGTTTCATAGTTCTAAATGCTAACCCTGTAAGACATAACAGCACTATCTCTTTTCTAGCTGATCCTATGATGCAGGATCACAGCATCCTTTTTGCTGCTTCAATTGGGATCGTTTCACATTTATTTCCAAATTCTCGCACCATTCGAACACTTTCTCCGGGTTTCCACTATATTTGGGGGAACAGTCATGACGAAATTCAGTATTCTCACTCAAATACTAGCCCCAGATTTACTTAGCTCAGCCAACATACCAGGTTTGCTCTGTCAGCTGCAACTACTTCATTTAGATACTCCATGTATTATTGTGTCTCATCTATCTTCTTACTCTGCCCCAATATTGCCTTCACTCTTGCCATCTTTTTCACTGTTTGTAGCTTTTTTTGGGCTATTTCTGCTCACAACTTAATAGCTTGGGCTTGCAACTCCATTTGCTCCATCTTTTGCATTATGATTTGAAACTCTGCGAGTGGATGGTTTCCACCTGTTGCTCTGGTTTCCTCCATATCCGATTTTGTATCGAATTCCTTACTAGGAAAACTAGGGTACCCTCTAACACTGTTCACTGTTACACTCTGGTACTCTGCACATTCCGGTACTCTGGTACTCTCTACACTCTGGTAATCTGTACACTCTGGTAGTCTGTACACTCTGGTATTCTGTACACTCTGGTACTCTATACACTCTGGCAATCTGTACACTCTGGTACTCTTTATACTCTGGCAATCTGTAAGCTTTGGTACTCCTGTATGCTCTGGTACTCTGTACACCCTGGTACTCTGTACACTCTGGTACTCTGTACACTGAGGTACTCTGCACACTCTGTTACACTGGTACTCTGTTTGCCATCATACTGTTACTTGCACTGTTACTGTTTCTTCCTTGGAGTCTTAGGCATTTAAACTAGGGTTCATAGGTCTCATCGCAGCCACTACTTTTGTAACAAATGTCTTACTCCAATAGTTCTTTAAGTATGTATCAATCCAGATAAAACTCTCTCTGTATTCTTAAGTATGTATCAATCCCGATACAACTCTCTCTGTATTCTTAAGTATGTATCAATCCAGATACAACTCTCTCAGTATTCTTAAGTATGTATCAATTCAGATACAACTCTCTCTGTATTCTTAAGTATGTATTTCTCGAAACAAAAAGCTATAGAATTCTATAATCTCTACCGAACAATGGTATCTCTAACCGTCAGTAACCAGAGTCTATTTTCAACTAACTATATTTGAGTCTAAGGTAAAGAGTAAACTGTCCGATAACACGGTCAGCTGATTATAAAGTAATATATTTGCAGGTAGGTTCAGGTTTCCAAGATTTGGGGTTATTACTATGTTTATTGCATACAATAAAGATTTTAATAACCTCATGTTGTAAGTTAGAAATAATATACATTTCGTTTTGTTGAATTGGATTCAGATTCTATAATTTTGTGTTTTACAGTGAATTTTAGCAAAAATATCATTTTATTCATTAAATCCGATTTTTGTTAACAAAAATATTACCTGCAGCCCTCTTCATCTGATTCATCCATACAATTTGAACTTTGATCGCATCTAATAAAATTTTTTTTTTATAAATTTACCGGGGGAAGGGTTGTATATTTATGTATATAAAAAATTGTATAGTTTATTATATTTACCTTTCCTCAATGTCTATACACTGTCCATCATTGCAAGTAAACTGACCTAAAACATTTCATAAAAAAGGATTTACATTTTTAACAGATTTAAACACAAACCTTTTTTATACATTTTTATATACATTTTCTACGTTTATAAATTTTAACTGACCTTGCAAACATGTAGAAAATTTAATTGCCCTAACCATATTTTCTCCATCTTTAAAACATTTGCTATCAAGACTTTTTCTAAAATAGTTCTGATTAAAATGTTAATTATAAAGATTGAACTTAAGATCATTTACAAAAATCATCTTTGAAAGCAAATCATGTAATCACTGAGATATTTTGCCTGTCTCAATCAAAATTTTTTGTTGCTAAAAGATCAATTACTCCCATGATCCCAAACATCTACTAACTACTGTTAATTTTATAGTATAGTGGTTTTCAATTATTCTATTACTTCGGCTTGATACAATTGTGAGAACCCTGCATTTCGTATTGATCTTAAAAGTAATCTATAACTTTGCGAAATGGCTGCTTACTGCAAAGGATCTGAGTCTTTGCCACAAACACAATTTTTTTAATCCCTCTATCTTTGCAACTTGGTGGTTTAAACCTTTGATATTTCAAATTTATATTACTTGATCTATTACGGAATTTATAGTTTGTACTATCTTAGTTCCATAAAGATATTTGGCTGCCAGAATATTGGAGTTAGAAAATTCGAGTTTGCGGCGAAGACTTTCAATCCACGATTGAAATTAAACTTTCCTACCGAAAGTCAACAAACTGAATACCAAGGAGCAATGAATTCATTGTAGTTGTTATAAACGCTTCACTTCTATTATCCTTCCGATCATACCACTCCCATCTATATCATTGAAAATGAGGTAATCTGTATATGTTTGTCTATTCGTTTATATTCAGCCTTGTGGCAACTAAAATGACCAAAAGGAAGACGTTTGACAGGTAGAAATGGTCCATTCTTTCGGAAATCTTTTGGAAATCTTTGGAATTCTTTTGGAAATATTTCATTGAAAACTGGAAACTATGCAAGTATTTTTATTGCTAAAATTTAAATATGAACGAAAAGCTTGCAGAAAGCTAAGATTATAAATGAGAAAGATGGCGCGTGCTGAGTAGCGCCCATGAAACCTTTGGTTGGTTTGTCTGTGTCCAACAAAATTTAAACCGGCTGAACCGATCGAGCCCAAATCAATAAAAAATATGTTATTTCTAAATATTTATAAGAGATCATCATTCTCTCCTTGATTTAGTTTTATCAAACACTATAGCAGATGATACATAACCCATGAAGAAAGAGGTTCCATCCTGAATAAAGTTATATAATCTAAAGAAATTTAAGTTCTTAAATTATACAAATATACTTTTTACCTTATATATATTGTAGATATATTTCCGATCATATATTGAGAGAGGACATAAACCACGTACATTTACAGTCAAAATTGGATTATTAACCTGTAATATTATATTATTAAAAGATGATGCTAATTCGAACAGATTCACCTGGTGTAAAACAAAACCTTAACATGTTTATTTGATTTTTAAAACATGAAAATCCAAAAGGCTATCGACTCACTAGTCACCAGCATTGACAAAAAACGGTATGACGTCACTTAATATATCTTGCAGCAACTTTTTAACTTTTTTATCAGAGTTTTCGAATTGTTACAAACTCAAATGAAGCCTGTGACATTTAATTAGATCAATTAGTATTTAATCATCATTCAGAACATTTTTGTTGTTTTTATTTTCAGAGGATTAAATGCATTTTATTTGTAAATGCATAACCTTTCTCAAAAATTTAAACTGCTATGAAAAGATGTATCAAATTAAAAATAATGGGTATTGTAACGCCTTGGCTTTTACTTTCATTTTATTCAATATCATTAGGTTGCAAAGATAGAGATTACAATTTAGGACTTTCTGCAAGAGTTCGGTTCTTTTAACCTGACAGAGTCCACAGTCCACCCAACCAGCAGCACATTCTTGATCTTCTAGTTTAGCAGATATCGTGTTTGCTCTGCTCTTACCCTCATCCAACAGATCCAATGTTAGACTCATACAATTGTATTTCCTGGTTCCTAAATATAAAAATTAATGTATCTCATTTTAAGGACTTTGAAGAATAAATTTAGAAAAACATTTTGTCACATTTTTTTATTTACACCCATAAAACTAAAACTGTGGAATTATGAGTTTCTGTTCAGAGTACACACTGAGTACTAACCCTTTTTTCACGAAATGATTTGATTTTTAAACTATTTGCTTTAGAAAAACATCAATGTCAATATCAGATTGCTTAAATGTCTCCTTCAGGTCCCACAGATTTATGGGTCCCATTGTAGGTTTATTTACACCTGAATATGGTCTGTTAGGCCCCCAAGGAAGATAGTTCACTAGTTTAGATTTATTATATAAATCCGCCCAAACTCCTTCCTCAGCCTCATCAGTGTTACCAAGGAAAATAGTTAAACTGGAAATAAAGGAATTAAATCAAATTTTCTAATCTCTAAATCTTTGCATTCTAATGTCTTAAACCTTTGTTATATTAAAATTATTTGATCAGAATTTATTGTTTAAAATATTTAAGGTATAATATGAGCTAAAGGAATTAGAAAATGAGAGTTCATGGCTATTAAGACAATATTCCTTATTTAAGAAAATTATTAGAAAAGGTTTTCCTGAAATTTTTACTAAAGTCTAAACCTGTATGTGTCAATTCCTGTCTGCTTCACACAGGTTTCAGACTGAAAAATTTTAATTTGAAAAAAATTATTTATAAAACATAATAATTTTCTTACCTCTAAATTTTCTTCAGAAGATAAATGGTAAATAATTCTTTCTAACTCTTCTTTATTTGTATAGCCAGCAATTCTTTATTTTTAAATATGTTAAAGTTTTTAAAATATTTTTTTATGTTCTTACAGAGACTATTGCTGTAATTTCAAATAGCCTTTTATTGACAGAGGTCCATGTCCGATTCACAATGATAGTGATACCCTTTAATGAAAGCCAAAAGATTAAGGTGTAAAATGCACCAATTATAAATTGGACATGCAACTCTATAAATGCGGGATCACTAGGAATTAAGTGTACATTCCCTTGAAATCCAATTACTCTTAACGAGTTGTTCTATCCAATACCTTTATTTTAAAAACAACGTTTAGAATTAACATTACTTAAAGGGACTGTTCACTTTTTTCAAAAAAAAAACACAATTAGAAATAAAAAAATGCATTTTTAATAAGTAAAATCGAACCTGCCGGAGAGTTTACTACAGACCCCTTTCATCTCGGGAATATTCATCTTGAAGGGAAGAAAATGAAAACTGATGGAAGAATCAATGCAAACATCTTTCTCTTTAACATAAAACAAATTTGACACTATACAAATAGTTCCCTTTCCTGATAGTGCCGATAAAAGGATTCATATCTCTAATTGGATAATGATATAGATAGAAAGATAGATGTTACCGCCATACTATTTCTATTGGTTAATAATAGACAACAAACACATGACTGAACCCTGATTGGATCAGGCGCTAATGGACTTGGCATACAGGAGTGTTGAACTGAAAACTCGCCATTAAATTTAAATTTGCAACCTGGTGTCTTAAATCTTTTACATTTCAAATTGGTTCAAAATTTTAAATGTAAAAAGGTTTACATCATCAGGTTGCGAAGATATTGGGTTTAGATAATTAGAGACTGTTCAGTTTTTCAAATGATGTAGTTCAATGTAATTTAGGATTTTAAAAACCCAACCTAAATCTTTTTCCTCGGTGTAGGAACTGTTTAGAATTCCAGTTAATTTCCAAGGAACAGTTTCCCAGTTTAGAATATCCCCCTTCAAGTTAAATGATTGGCATCCTGAAACATATTCTAGCGGTACATGTTAAACTAACTGCACACCCTCAACTCCTTCAACTAAGCTTTAGGTGTGTGTGTACTGCAGTGATTTGCAATACACTGACCAGGTGAAATAGTGGGTTTTAGTGGAGGAGGGGAGGAAGGCCAGCCACAGCAATTTCTCGTCCGAGCCACATTCTCCTCATTTTCTCGTCCGAGCCTTTGCTCGGAATTCTCGTCCTTCGATTTTTATGTGTTTAAATGTTTCCAATTCTTGAAGATAAAACTATTTTTTTAATCTGGCCACGTTAGGGCATACAATATGGATGGACTAAAGTATTGCAATGATTATATCATGTTGAAATCTTCAAATCCATGAGAATGATGTCAAACTTTATTTAGGTAAAGCTTAAATTTCTTCTGCCTCTGTAATGGCTAACCTTCGAAATATAAAATAAATAGCAAAATATTCGGCATACTTTTGCCTATAATTTTCCCCATAGAACCATCTGGAAAAATTCGATGGTTTTTCACTTTAAGTCAACAAAAAAGATTGAAGTTCTATAAACTCAGAATTATTTGCGGCATTCTACACCAAAATATCTGAAAATGCGCGTAAAAAAAGGTGAACATTTTTAAAGACAATAAACTTGAAATCTTTAATTCAATTGAAACTTTTTTATTCGATTTACAAAAATGTTATACTTCATTTATGCCCTAACGTGGCCCTATTCTTTAAAAACAGTTTTATCTGGGAGGATTAGACGCTTAAATAAAATAGTATTGAAAGGACGAGAATTTCGAGGTAGCTCGGACGAGAAAATGAGGAGAATGTGGTTCGGAAGAGAAATTGTTGTGGTTGGCCTTCCTCCCCTCAGTGGAGACTGGAGATTAGTGTTTCCAATCGGAATTCCGTTGTGCGCAATTGCGCGCAATGGTTGCTTCCGCTTGCGCCATTTCATTGCGCGCAATTGCGCTATAATTGCGAAAAAAGGAAGCAATTAAATATTTGCGGAATTGCGTTGAATTGCGCGGAATTGCGTGCATCGGAATTGGTTTTATACCTAAAAATCAATAATTTTAAATGTTATACTTGCAAATTTATGCAGCAGATACAAGAATGGAATTAAATATCTCTGTTTATTTTAAAATAATCGAGGCCATGGAGTGTCACTAGTTTCAATAGTTTTCAAATTTCTTGTGGTTAAGCTACTAATTAACAATTTAATATGATACATTTTTCATTTGTTCACATTGGATAAACATTAAAATGGAAACTTTTTTGGTTAAAATTGTAGGGTTCGTTTAATCAAAATTAGATATTTTGCTACAGTGAAAACCAGAAAACTATGGAACAGAAAGACAACATCACAGTGTATTTAATATTATAGTTACAAGTCGAACAAAATTAATTAGTAACTTATTAAATCATTTATCCAGTTACATGGGTCTGCTTGAGTCTAAACTGTCGTCTTCCTATGCAAGATTTTTCTGGTAATCATGCTGCAAATGAATATTATAAAACAAAATATTAAGTTTAGATTCAATTTTCTTAGCATTTGAGACTGAAATGTTAGTGAAGTTCATGGTTTATTGTATGCCCCTGCCAAAGTTTAAATTCAATTTGCTTAGCATTTGAGATTAAAATATCAGTGAAGTTCAGTTTTATTGTATGGCACTTCCAAGGTTTAATTGCAATAATTAATTGCATTTCTTGTGTGCCATAAGGTTTAAATTAAATTTTATCAAAAAATTGAAACACAACGCAAGAAATTTGGACGGAATTGCGCGCTATAGCGCGCGATTGCGCGCAATTCCGTTGCGTTTATTTGCGTGCAATTATTACGGAATTGCGCGCAAGTAAAATCCACTTGCGTTGGAAACCCTACTGGAGAGTCAAACAAGAAGTACATCCTGTCTCTATCCACATATTTGCAGTCATATTTTTATCTCTCATTCAAAATACGTTGAAAATAGCGTAAATGACTTCACATACTCTAATATTTATAGAATAAATTAATGCAAAAAAGTACAGAATAAAAAATACGAAAAACCTTCATTTAATGATTTAAAATGGGTTTCAGTTAGGGCTCATATGACATTTAACCTGGATCCCTAATTTACCGTGATTAGGTTTCTTAACTATTAAAGCACATTCGAAAAATTTAAAGGAATTGAGTTTTTGCCACAAACTCAAATTTTCTAATCCTTATATCTTGCCAATCTAATGGTGGAAACCCTTGATATTTCAAACTTAGGCTATTTGATCTAACAGAATTCATAGTTTGAAATATATAACGTCTACGAAATTGGATTGCAAAGTTATAGGCATTATAAAATCAGAGTTTGTGACAAAGACTCAATTCCTTTATGGAATTTTGAGGGACATTTTGGGAATTCTCCAAATGCTAAAAAGTGAATTCCCCAAATACCTGGAAATCTATTTGGGAAATTTCCCAGTTACCCATTTTGGAAATTTCTCCAATTATCCAGTCATTTTTGAAATTTCCAAAATCTTAAAAGTATACATCCTCAAATTCCTACAGATTCCTACAGGAATTTTGGAGATTTCGGGAATTTCCCAAATTTCTGGGAATCGGTGAAATTTCTCAAATACCTGGGAATCTGGGGAATTTCCCAAATTTCTATTTTCTTCAGAAGTATAGTTGCTGTACTCGGAGTGTCGGGTTTTGGTTCGTTTTTTTTTTTGATTTTTAATAAAAGTTGCAAAATTTCAAAACTGTATTAAGTTTACTTTTATTACACTTTGTAATATTTTTATTCTAAAAAATAAAAACGATAAAGTTTTGGATAGTTTTTGGTTCGTTTTTCGCCAATATATTTTGTCTGGGCCCAAATTTGGCATATTGCAAGAAAAACAACCGTTTATAATTCAAAATTTTGCGTTTCTTCACCAGGCCAAATTTTGACCCTAAACTACATTAAATGCTATAATCAAACCAAAATCAATCCAGCATAAGGACTGATTACAAACCTGTTATTTCTACAAGTTCTTGAGAAGTTAAAACTCGAGAAAAAACTTGAAGATCTGTTACTTCACCATGCATTGATACATCTTAATTAATTAAATTCTTGAAATATTTTTAGAAAGCTTTTTTAATATGTAAATTATTAATGTTAAATTATTAATGATTTCCTCTTAGAAAGTTAACTTCAGAAGAGCAGAAAAGTTTTACATAATTTTCCATTCTCATCCTTGTGCTTAAAAAGCCAAAGAAGCTTCAAGGTCAAAAAGTTGTACCCTTTTATCAGTGGATTTCACATAAATTCTTCTGCACTATAGTGCATCAGCGTGTCAAATCTTTATGCGGATATAAACCATGAAGAATAAATATTTTTCAGTTTTGAATTTAAAGAAATAGATCAGGTTGGGTTATCGTGTTAGAATTAACAAAATTGTTCGTCAGATATTTTTTTTTTAACAGTTCTATAATTAGTTCGTTTCAAACAAGAATTAATGGTCTTTCCACGGTCTTCTTACTGGAATTTTCCGATTACATCCGTTTGCTAACTAGACTAGCACATTTAACTCCGTTTGCTAACTAGACTAGCACATTTAACTCCGTTTGCTAACTAGACTAGCACATTTACCTTCGTTTGCTAACTAGACTAGCACGTTTACATCCGTTCGCTAACTAGACTAGCACGTTTACCTCCGTTTGCTAACTAGACTAGCACGTTCACATCCGTTTGCTAACTAGAATAGCACGTTACATCCGTTCGCTAACTAGACTAGCACATTTACCTCCGTTTGCTAACTAGACTAGCACATTTACATCCGTTTGCTAACTAGACTAGCACATTCTCATCCGTTCGCTAACTAGACTAGCACGTTTACATCCGTTCGCTAACTAGACTAGCGCATTTACATCCGTTTGCTAACTAGACTAGCACGTTTACATCCGTTCGCTAAATAGATTAGCACATTTACATCTGTTTGCTAACTAGACTAGCACATTTACATCCGTTTACTAACTAGACTAGCACGTTTACATCCGTTCGTTAACTAGACTAGCACGTTTACGTCCGTTCTCTAACTAGACTAGCACATTTACATCCATTTGCTAACTAGACTAACACGTTTACTTCCGTTTTCTAACTAGACTAGCACATTTACATCTGTTTGCTAACTAAACTAGCACGTTTACATCCGTTCGCTAACTAGACTAGCACGTTTACATCCGTTAGCTAACTAGATTAGCACGTTTACATCCATTTGCTAACTTATAGACTAGCACGTTTACATCCGTTAACTAACTAGACTAGCACGTTTACATCCGTTCGTTAACTAGACTAGCACGTTTACATCCGTTCGTTAACTAGACTAGCATGTTTACACCTATTTGCTAACTTATAGACTAGCACGTTTACATCCGTTCGGTAACTACACTAGCATGTTTACTTCCGTTTGCTAACTAGACTAGCACGTTTACATCCGTTCGCTAACTAGACTAGCACGTTTACATCCATTCGCTAACTACACTAGCATGTTTACTTCCGTTTGCTAACAAGACTAGCCCTACATTTTAGATAATTTAAATTGATCTCCTGTATTAATATAGCGAGTCTATAATCCCGATTCAGATTTGATCTGGACTTGATTCGAGTTAATGCTGGAATCATCTCCGAATCAGGGTCCCAAAACCAGTTTAAAAACCAGTCTAAAAAGTGACACTGACTTTTTGATTTACAGTTAGTAAAAATGCCAGTTTCCCCCATTTTTTAAAATGTCTTTGATCAGGACTTGATTCGAGTTAATGCTGGAATCATCTCCGAATCAGGGTCCCAAAACCAGTTTAAAAACCAGTCTAAAAAGTGACACTGACTTTTTGATTTAGTCCTTCAATTATCATACAGGGAAATTTTCATCTTTCTAAACATCCCAACGAATGATTTTACAGGTTCTTTTAGATTAAAGTTATCAAAATTATAGTAATTTATTATAGGGATTAATTAGGGAACCCATCAGACCGTTATATGATCAATAATGTGAAAGACGTCATCGTTTTTTCAGATTTATTTCTGAGGAAAGAAAATACAATTGAAATAATCAATTTTCAAGGTTAAAAACAAGGTTATCTCTTTAATCCTTGATAATGCAAAGCTTTCAAGGGTACTGTTGTGAATGGGTTATGCCACTCAGTTGAAATTACCCTACTGCAGTCCCTTTAATTTTTTTAAATTTTAAACCTGTATTTGTGTTCAGAGTTAAACAAGTATGTCTCCACATTTGTAGTGTAATATCAGACCTGTAAGACAGATTAAAATTTAAAATTAATTTTACCTGATAAAAAAGTAAGTAGATTTATTAATTGTAAATAAATCCAAAAAATAGGATAAAAAAGCTGTTAATATTTGTTGCAAATTTTCATTGGGGTGTCCCAAACAAATGATATTTTAGACATTGTAGCACTAATCTAGTGACCATGATTAAAATTTTTTACTGTTCTCTTCTTTAAATGTTGTGCTCTGTACTTCTAATTGATATCAATCGAGCGGAAATGTTCCATACATTTTAAGAATATCCTAAATTTAACTAGGACGAGTGCTGCAAAGTTTAAAAGATCGTCTTTTTGGGACACCCTGTATTTTATACCTAGATTCCCCAAGACCCAACCAACCGTAGGAACTCATATTCTTTTGCTTCAACCCTAACCAGCTTCCTGTTTCATAAGCTCCCAACACTATTCCCTGAGATTAATTTACAATACATAGAAGACGATCAGGCGCGTACACAGGATTTATCCATGAGGGGGGGGGGGCGAGATTTTGCGCGAAGTACGAAAAAAAATGTTTCACCTCCCCCCCCCTGTTATTTCAAATGCCCACCTGAAGACTACTCCCCTTTGTAAGCCCACTGTAGTCCCGATTCAAGAACTATATATTACTACCTGAAGGTCCCAGTGCCCGTGGAAAAAAAATTTGAAAAAATAAAAAAAAATCATTTTTTAGCTTAAAACACCCCACGGCCACCCATGAGTGTCCGCAAACAATTTCAGCCCATTCGGTCCAGTCGTTTGGCCGGCTATAGGCAATATATATATATATATACGAATGTCTTTTTTTATTATATAGATAATGTATCCCTCTGTGTAGCTATGTATGACCCCCACCCCCTGGCCTTCATGGTGGTTGCGGGAAGACTTGTCATGCAAGACGCATTTAGCCATAATTGTTTATCGAGTAACTGTTTCGTTAGTTTTGTCACTAAATGATCGTTCAGTAAAATCGTTCGGTTAATACAATTGTTTAACCAGTAAGAAAACGATAGTTTTTTTAAAAGTTAGTTCGAAAAAATAGTCAGTTCTTTAAAAAATATCGTTTTTTAAAAAGTTTTTTTAAAAAAATCGTTCGTTCAGTAAAATAACGATAGTTTTTTGCAAAACCTTTTGGAAAATTTTTTTGTTCAGTTAAAAAACTTTCGTTCTTTCAAGGTGACACCATCGTTCACGAAGAATGATATGCGCTACCTCTCTAAGTTGAGTGTAATCATCTTCCATTACACCCAAGGATATTATAGAAGAAGTTGGTTCTTTAGGAAACTCAAATCTATAAAATACAATAACTAGATAGTTTGTCGAGTATTATTTATCTTGAATGTTTGATCTTGATATCTAATATAGACAATCTTTTATTTTTAGGATAAATACGTGATTGCTCAAATAAAGGTGTCCCTGCCGGTGAGGATAACCACAAGATATCGAAGAGGAATAAAATGAATCCGTTAGTTTCTATTAAAATCAATTTTTGAGCGCGAGATTCAGTGCACAAAATTATTTATCCATTATGTTCCTGTACTGTACAATGAGAAGGCAGATTATACATTTTTATTATATAATTTTTGAAATTAGAAGAAATTTTGTAAACTGGACATCTAATTTTTTTTAGATCTTTTTATGCATTTAAAAAAGTCTTTTCATGCTAAATGTTTAGATTTGCCATTTTCAATTTACTCTAAAAAGGCCCCACAATAATTTACCGATTTTGAGTTTCACTAACTTTTCATTTTCACACTGTTATCAACTTATTCACAAACTTTTTTATGGAATCTTCAATCTTCATACATATGTTTATTTGACTAAATGATTTATTCAGTCAGTGTAATCAGATAACAATTGTATTAAGTTTATTTTTTACAGGGATCGATTCTTGAAAATAGAGAAAAATATGTTTTTAACTTGTAAGCTATTATACATTTGATACAAAAAATCTATTTTTGAAAATAAAATCAATTTGGATAATAATTAATAATGCTATGAAAATAATAAAACCAAAAAAGAAGAGCTGGGCACCGAAATTAATCGAAACTTCTTTTATTTTATTTTCTGTCTTTTCAGATAAAATCTAAAAGTTCTTACCCCTCAGGGTTGTGTCGATAGCACACAGTTAGCTCCCTGGATACTTTATATTCAACCTGTAAAACAATTTATCTTATTTTCTAAAGTGGGACTCAAAAACGGGGGACTAAGAAGACGACATTTCAGAAATAATATGTATATTTGATGTTGTTATAAGGTAAATAATTTTACGAGTAGCTCAAAAACCCATTAATCAAGTGGGTCTTTTCAGGCCCGTAGCTAGAAATTTAGAAAGGTGGAGGGGGGGGGGGGTTCAAAAGTAAAAATTGGACAGATAGTTAAGAAGTGGGCGCGACGCAGGCGAAAATTCACATCATACTGTCCAAATATTTAAATTTTTTATATTTGTGCAATAAGTCAAAAAACAAATATTACTTATTTTCGTATTCATGCTCAAAATCATGCAAAAATTATTACTTTTATTATGTATTCATCCGGAATTTCGTGCAAAAAAATATTTACTTCGAATGAATGAGCAATTTTGTGCAAACCTAGTTTCGAATTGATGCGAAAATGATGCAAACTTTTGTGCAAAAACGCGAAACTGTTGCGCAAGAGAATCTATAGAGAATCTAACCAGAAATTATAGTTTGAAATATCAGAGGTCTACGATATCGGATTGCAAAGATATAGGGATTAGAAAATCAGAGGTTGTTTCAAAAAACTCATTGCCTTTTATTTCAAATGGTCACTTTCAGTTAAAAAAGCTAAAATTGTTAATAGAAAAGAGCGCGCGAAGAGTCCTTAAAATCCTAGTTAAATAAAAGTCAAAACTTATTTCCTAACCAAAGTACAATTGGACAAAACAATGATTATTTGAAGTTTAGGAGTTTGTACAAGCTACTTTAACCACAACCTCAACCTCTCAATATAAATAATAAAAGTAAATATGAAAAGTGTAACCTTTGCATGTACACACTCAATAGTTCCACAGTCAACACATGATGTGCTCCTAAAACTTATAAAATCAGACAAAAGTCAAGTATACTTTAGTTTAGTTTATTACTATTGCAAAAATTTGGACTTCTTTATCACTGAAATGAAAATTGCAGCCTCTGAGTTTAAGTGATAAGGTTTAAAAAATGGCCCTCCAAGGGACCGAATTTAATATATTTCAGCTAGGCCGCTAAACTATATTTATGAGTTCAAATCTTGAATCACCTATTTAAAGTTAGAGATTTACGAGGAATTGAATCGGTGAATCAGAATTTAAACTGGTGGTGGGAAGTTCAGCCACCTCTAATTCATTAAATTTGGACTCTGAATTATTTTACGTCTTTTGATCAATTAATAAAATCATATAAGTGTGTGCATTTATTAAATCAACATTCAAAAATGTTTACCAACTGAATTTTGATTAGAAATGTTCACCTTAGGTTATAATCTTTATTCAGAAAAAAAGACTGAATTGCTGCCGATAAAGATACCATTTTAACAAGAATTAAAAATATTGCGAACAGAATTCTAAAATCCTTATCTTTCATAACTCTCATTCTGGGACACCTTAATAAAGTTCTTAATATTTAAATATATATATAATTTAATTGCAACTGTTTTAAGGCTGCAGAGATATTGTCTAAGAAAGACAAGAATAATTATATATGTTCATATTGTAATCATCGTATTCATCTATCTATTATCAAAATTTTCAAATCAAAGCAAACATTTTTTCTTCTAACTTTTCCCCTTACAATGTTAATAATTGTTATAGGAATATTAGTTTTAAGAACCTTGTTCATTTTATGGACAATATATTAGACCAAATTCAAAGCAATTATACATTATTTCAAAACAATATCTAGTAGCTGGAAATACCCCAAATTACTTGATCTATCATATTCAAAATAAGAGACTGGTTAAACTCTCTATTACTCTGAATTGATTTAAATCAGTTTTCTCGTTTAAAGGTTTCAGGTTTGAGTTGTTCTCAGTTAGAGTAATTATGTTGGACAGAAGGAAAAATGCAATCTTCTTAATCTTTTATACTGCACGCACTGCATTTATACTGCAGTTAAGGCTGTGTAAACAAATTTTAAACAATATTACCATTTTCAATAGACGCAATCGGATTTTTTCTATGGGGCCGGCTGGAATTTAAACCTCTTCCAGGTAGGGTTTTCCGCAAAATGGGGAAATCATTACGCTAAAATATCGCATTTTTCACAAAACATAATTAAAATGTTCCATTTCTTGCAAAACAAATTAATGCGAAAAAACGACAAATGTAGCAATTTTTCGCGAAATTGTCACTTATTCGCTTTTTTTCGCAAAAAATTTTTTTTCCCCTGAAAACTTTACTTCCGGATCTATGTAATTTTTTTTCAGTTGTCAACTTCAGACATGTTTATCATGTAGTTGTGAATATATCATCCGCCAAAAAAGGTTTTTATCTTTCTGAGCTGGAATTAGCTTACGGCGAAAAATAATTGCTTTTGATCACTACTAATCTGTTGCGTCTGTAAGACGAAAATTGTTAAACGACTTAGACATGGAGTCCATATAAATTAAGAAAGTTGCAACATACGATTGGGATCGTAAAAAATCATTATAATACCAAACAAAAGCATCGAGTGCAGAGACACCTGGCGGACAAACTAATTGGAGTTTAAGTTCATTTTTCGCGAACACTCCCTTTAAACTTTGAACCAATTTGGAAAGCTTTTAATTGTGAATCAAGCTTTGACAAACATTTTAAATGTCTTGAGAAAAGTAGAAAACTAAATATTGTCAATAATAATATAGCACTTTTTTTATAAAAAATACGAAAAAGAAAAAGAATGAAAATATTGTCTCTATCCTAGGGGTTGAATGAAACAAGTGTCTCAAAGCAAATGACATAATTTTTGATAATGTTTTCTTAAATAACTTAAATTTAGGAAAATATTTATACAAATCCTAACACGAAACTTGACGATAAAATGTCAAGTGGAAACATGTTTTTTTATTAAATATCACAAGAGTTTACTCTTTCAAATCAACAAAAAATACAAGAAAAATTTTAAATGAATGCCCTTTTTTGATCAAATCAAACCATTTCATAATGAGAGAGATTCAGTCTGAAATGTTGATATGATAACAATTTATTAAAACAATAAATTATTATGAAATATTGAAAAATATTTCGTGTTAACGACTTAAATTTCAAGTTTCAGATGAAATTCTAGAGAAAATCTTAAATCTAAATATTATTAATTTCCCTACCAAATTTTAAGTGGATTAAAAGCGTGTATTCGAGTAAGCCTCAAGTATGCGAAGATGACAATGTCCTATTCGCAACGGTACCTTTAAATTAAGAAGGAATTATATATCCATATTTTTTTTTAAATTGTGGTTTCTTAACAAAACGAACTTGCGCATGTCTACTGCAGGAAATCATAAGCAAATATCAGAATTAAACCCTTTTTACGCCAAAAAAACGACAATATCTTCCTTATTATTGATCAGATAAAGGTTTTAATTGGAAACCGCGGTAAATCGAGCATTGCAACCTTTGCAATTACCTAGAAATTACGCTTACAGTCCCTCTAAAAAATCTAAAAAACTTTAAATGCAAGTCATGTAAAATGATGATAATCCTAAGATCTGAAAAGGGAAAAATAATTTCCACGTATTTCTAAGGGAAAAAAATAATTTCTTATGATATATGTTGGACCGAGTTTGCATAAAAAACTCAAACGATTGTTACAAAGTCATGTGTATATTTTTGACTCTTTTAAAATCATAAAAAATCATAATTCATTTTATTGAATAATGATAATTTTTGACTACAGTGGAGAATAAAGTGGGATTATTTTTTTTTAAATCTCAATTTTTTTCTGAAATATTGATGAAAACTTGTTAAACCAACTGGTATTTAAAAATGTTTCATGTTTACCACGCTTCAATTCTACCACAATTCAAATTCACTATTATAGATATAAACAACTTTTCCATTGTTTTGAAAAACAACATATATTATTTAAAGATAAGGATTATTAAGATGTTTACCACCTTTTTATAAACATAACCGACCTCTGATTCCCCCCACAGAGGGACGTTAAGTTACATTACGTCCCTTGGGACAATTAAGTAAAATAACGACGTCTTGGCCGGGTACCGGGTACCCTTGGTAAAGTAAAATATTTTGGACAATATATATTATCCATTTTTTAAATTTTTTTCTCACAAATTAAAATTCCTTTTCATAGAACACGAATATACATTTATTTTGAAAAATGTTCAAGAAAGGATAATTATTTATTGCATTCAGGGGCGGACTAGAGGGGAGGCCTGGGCTCCTGGAATGGGGGCTAGCATTTACATTGATATTATCAGAACTGAACTGACTTATAAATATATTATACGCTTTTAACAAAAGCAATACAAAATAAACCACATGCAATTCTAGTTATATCTTGAATACATATTCGATTATAGATTACTTTTTTATAGTACTTATTATGAATTTGAATACGCCATCTTCTATATTATTGGAAACCCAAAACTATTAAAGTAGAAATCTACATTCTCTTTTAAATGTAAAGCAGCCCAGTGATCTCCTGGATGTTCACTTTGTATTGATTATGAGTGCACCCTTTCTCCGTTTCGAGTGCATAGCATGGAAAGCTATTTATTTCAGAAATTTTATTTGATGGAACACAATCTATAAATCCAGGATAATCTTATCTTCAATAAAAAACAATGAACTATCATACGAACCAAACACTAAAACCATGAAATTTTTATCTAAAGCTTTCTTTGATTTAACATTTACAGTTATGCTTCTTCCTTGACTCTTAATTGTATATAATCAGTTATCCTTGGTAGGGGAACAATTAAATGGGAGGATGAAATAGCCTTTCTTGAATTCTCCAATTTACACTGTCCATCTCAAAAGCTGATGTTCCAGAGTGTTCAAGAAAACTGAAATTTAATACTTTTTTATCAACTCCCTCAACTTAAATCAAAGATAAGGTGGAGATGATTCTGACACTCCATTACACTTTTGTATGCCGAGTCCATTAGCGCCTGATCCAATCAGGGTTCAGTCATGTGTTTGGTGTCTATTCTGAACCAATAGAAACTGCATGGCGGTAACATCTATCTCATCATCCAATTAGCTATAGATGTAAATCCTTATTGCGGTGCTATACACTTAATGGAAATATTTACTTCTCCTGAAACTATAGTTATTAACATTTAAAGCAGCTTCTTTCATACCCACAGTTTCAAATTTGAATGGGTTTTTTAAGCAATCTCCATTGTAAGCTTCATGCTCCACAAAAGCTAAGTAGACGGTTACCAAAGAATAAATTAGGCTACTTGAGCTCAACTGCTCCTGCAGGAACAGCTAACGTCTTCAAAACATTTTGAGTGTACTTAATTTTTAAAGAACCAGCCTCTTTCTGTAGTTTTTAATGATTTTTTATCACATGTGGAAAGACTTCCAATAACTTTACTTTCAAGTGTATATCCTCCAACACAATTTTATATTCATTTTGATCAGGATCATCTTTCCAGATTAGGAAATCATTACTTGACTTTCTTATTGTGAATGATAATTTTTATTAGCAGGAAGATATTTCTCTACAGTCATTATCATTGTGTAGTGGAATATTGAAATAAAAAAAAATTAATTTCAATCAGACTTTTCCTTTTTTGACAAAATGGTTCATTTGTATCTGACAGATTAGGCGTGTTCATATTATCCGCCTTATCCTTGATAAAATCTCGCTCAGACATGAATTAGCATTCCAGCTTGACTGGCTGAAGCTCCTGAAAGAGTTTGCAGATATGTTGCATAAGGATATGAATTACAAGCAATATATCCAATCTCACAATCATTTACTTTTGCTGTAACAGATGAGCAAAGTGATTGGTAAAAACCAAAGAATTTGCTAATTATAAATTTATCCGACTATTGTGTACGCCAGTACAGCTGTATTTTGATGTCATGTTATTTTGGTTGTTTGAGAGTTTAACGATCGACATTAAAACCTTAGTAATTTAACACAATTGTGAATCTTTTGTGCTAAAAAATAACTAAAATTAACGATATTTATTTGTATTTTAAAATTTATTTAATCATTTGTTGGATATGAGGATCGTCTGGTGAATTATAGCTAAATTTGTGATAAAGTTACGCATCTCTTTTGTATTAAAAATAGCCAATAATTGTTGGTGAAAATTTTCAGATGTCGTCAAATATTTTTCCTGAGGTTCTATGGAATGGAATTTTAGGCGATGAAGAAGAGAGGGGACCAGAAATTTCAAATATTATAAACGGTAAGAAATTTTTTGTAAATGTCGTCTTCTGTTTAATCTTAGGCAAAGAAATGATATCGCATATATTAATGTATTAATCTTACTTTTTAATTAATTTATGGGAATTTTGTTTCAACGTATTCACCATTAAAGAAAAAATATCACAGACAGTTTCGTTAAAAAATGCGAACATGGCCGGAGATTGTCTAAATTTCGTCTTCAAATTTCGGAGTATTATTATGTATACAA